CGATCATATGATCTATACCCCAAGAAAGATCATCCTAATGTTTACATTTCCTGTACTACAAGGCAGATAGTGGTCAATAGCGTTAACATATTCTACACTATAAGAGAACAGCGCTATTCTTTGCACACTTAAAATTGAGCCATTCGCATCCTTTTTTAAAGGAAGAGAGTTTACGAGATTATTACAGGGCCACAACTAAATGTTACAGTGTTGTGTGGACTCCTTTTTGTATTCCACTTGGATTTGAACAAACAGAACAGTGTGGTCTGTGTACAGGGGTTTCATCAGTTGTAGCTATAACAGACTTATCTTTCAAACGCATAAAATTGACCCCTTCGTCTTTAAGAGAACAGACTCGGGGTTATTTGTGTAAACCCTGCTTCAATCCATTGATGTCTGCATACAAGTAAACATTTCTGCTCGGAGTGGCACATTATACGCATGGGATCTGATGTTAACCTTAATTTCAGGTATATTGAGGATTTAACATCGTTCAGTAACGGTCAAATAGAGAGTCTCTTTTACTCGTCTACACACCTGAACGAGAAATATACGAGACTAGCCTCATTTATTTCATATTTAGATCTATGCATCTATACATAAAAACTCTGAGTGATAACACACTGTAAGACTGTACGACAAGAGGGTGACTTCAATTTTCCAATGGTCATCTTTCCCTGTATGTCGAGCAATATTCCTGCAGCTCCAGCCCTTGGTGACTGTATGTCGAGCAGTATTCCTGCAGCTCCAGCCCTGGGTGACTGTATGTCGAGCAGTATTCCTGCAGCTCCAGCCCTGGGTGACTGTATGTCGAGCAGTATTCCTGCAGCTCCAGCCCTTGGTGACTGTATGTCGAGCAGTATTCCTGCAGCTCCAGCCCTGGGTGACTGTATGTCGAGCAGTATTCCTGCAGCTCCAGCCCTTGGTGACTGTATGTCGAGCAGTATTCCTGCAGCTCCAGCCCTGGGTGACTGTATGTCGAGCAATATTCCTGCAGCTCCAGCCCTTGGTGACTGTATGTCGAGCAGTATTCCTGCAGCTCCAGCCCTTGGTGACTGTATGTCGAGCAGTATTCCTGCAGCTCCAGCCCTGGGTGACTGTATGTCGAGCAGTATTCCTGCAGCTCCAGCCCTTGGTGACTGTATGTCGAGCAGTATTCCTGCAGCTCCAGCCCTGGGTGACTGTATGTCGAGCAGTATTCCTGCAGCTCCAGCCCTGGGTGACTGTATGTCGAGCAGTATTCCTGCAGCTCCAGCCCTGTGTGACTGTATGTCGAGCAGTATTCCTGCAGCTCCAGCCCTGGGTGACTGTATGTCGAGCAGTATTCCTGCAGCTCCAGCCCTGGGTGACTGTATGTCGAGGAGTATTCCTGCAGCTCCAGCCCTGGGTGACTGTATGTCGAGCAGTATTCCTGCAGCTCCAGCCCTGGGTGACTGTATGTCGAGCAGTATTCCTGCAGCTCCAGCCCTTGGTGACTGTATGTCGAGCAGTATTCCTGCAGCTCCAGCCCTGTGTGACTGTATGTCGAGCAGATTTCCTGCAGCTCCAGCCCTGGGTGACTGTATGTCGAGCAGTATTCCTGCAGCTCCAGCCCTGGGTGACTGTATGTCGAGCAGTATTCCTGCAGCTCCAGCCCTGGGTGACTGTATGTCGAGCAATATTCCTGCAGCTCCAGCCCTTGGTGACTGTATGTCGAGCAGTATTCCTGCAGCTCCAGCCCTGGGTGACTGTATGTCGAGCAGTATTCCTGCAGCTCCAGCCCTGGGTGACTGTATGTCGAGCAGTATTCCTGCAGCTCCAGCCCTGGGTGACTGTATGTCGAGCAGTATTCCTGCAGCTCCAGCCCTGGGTGACTGTATGTCGAGCAGTATTCCTGCAGCTCCAGCCCTGGGTGACTGTATGTCGAGCAGTATTCCTGCAGCTCCAGCCCTGTGTGACTGTATGTCGAGCAGTATTCCTGCAGCTCCAGCCCTGGGTGACTGTATGTCGAGCAGTATTCCTGCAGCTCCAGCCCTGGGTGACTGTATGTCGAGGAGTATTCCTGCAGCTCCAGCCCTGTGTGACTGTATGTCGAGCAGTATTCCTGCAGCTCCAGCCCTGGGTGACTGTATGTCGAGCAGTATTCCTGCAGCTCCAGCCCTTGGTGACTGTATGTCGAGCAGTATTCCTGCAGCTCCAGCCCTGGGTGACTGTATGTCGAGCAGTATTCCTGCAGCTCCAGCCCTGGGTGACTGTATGTCGAGCAGTATTCCTGCAGCTCCAGCCCTGGGTGACTGTATGTCGAGCAGTATTCCTGCAGCTCCAGCCCTGGGTGACTGTATGTCGAGCAGTATTCCTGCAGCTCCAGCCCTGTGTGACTGTATGTCGAGCAGTATTCCTGCAGCTCCAGCCCTGGGTGACTGTATGTCGAGCAGTATTCCTGCAGCTCCAGCCCTGGGTGACTGTATGTCGAGCAGTATTCCTGCAGCTCCAGCCCTGGGTGACTGTATGTCGAGCAATATTCCTGCAGCTCCAGCCCTTGGTGACTGTATGTCGAGTAGTATTCCTGCAGCTCCAGCCCTGGGTGACTGTATGTCGAGCAGTATTCCTGCAGCTCCAGCCCTGGGTGACTGTATGTCGAGCAGTATTCCTGCAGCTCCAGCCCTGGGTGACTGTATGTCGAGCAGTATTCCTGCAGCTCCAGCCCTGGGTGACTGTATGTCGAGCAGTATTCCTGCAGCTCCAGCCCTGTGTGACTGTATGTCGAGCAGTATTCCTGCAGCTCCAGCCCTGGGTGACTGTATGTCGAGCAGTATTCCTGCAGCTCCAGCCCTGGGTGACTGTATGTCGAGGAGTATTCCTGCAGCTCCAGCCCTGTGTGACTGTATGTCGAGCAGTATTCCTGCAGCTCCAGCCCTGGGTGACTGTATGTCGAGCAGTATTCCTGCAGCTCCAGCCCTTGGTGACTGTATGTCGAGCAGTATTCCTGCAGCTCCAGCCCTGGGTGACTGTATGTCGAGCAGTATTCCTGCAGCTCCAGCCCTTGGTGACTGTATGTCGAGCAGTATTCCTGCAGCTCCAGCCCTGGGTGACTGTATGTCGAGCAGTATTCCTGCAGCTCCAGCCCTGGGTGACTGTATGTCGAGCAGTATTCCTGCAGCTCCAGCCCTGGGTGACTGTATGTCACAGCTCTGTGGTACAATCGAGCTTGCTCTTATTGCGAAGATTTCAAAGAGCGGCACACAATTCTTGCTCAGAAGATCAAGGTTACAACAATCAAAACTTTCAAAAGGTTTGATGGCGGACACGTGGGGGACATGTCTAAATTTGACGTATCAGTACGAACACCTGATGACATCACTATTTGATAGTGATTCATGAACACATCCTCATGATACTGTCGGAATCGTACAATATACTTTTAGCAGCCTTTACTAGCTTTTAGTAGAGATTTTATATGCTTATGGAAATGTTTTCTGTCGCTTATATTTGCTTTTTGACCCCTACTATTGTGTCAAACGCCATTTTGAAGTCTAAAGCACAGTACGCATTAATTAGATACTCGTATGCATCAGCATTTGAATGACGAATATATCATGTGCAGATGTTAGTTTCTTTTTTAAGTCAACTTGTGCTGAGGCTGTGACATGGTTTAAATCAAGGAATCCATTCCTAAACATCAATTTACTGTAAATATCTCCACAATGTATCCTCACTAGATAGTCAGAAAACCAACTCCTTCCAATGAATCGTTACCCCATTGCCAGCATGGGAACAGTGGCCACCTGAGCCACGTGACTGATTACAGGTAGATGCACAGAATGCAGACACGAGGAGGTGTGGAGGGGGTATGAGGGTGAGGCAGTGTGGTTTGTGAGGCACGTAGACGCTGACATTTCCTTGATCCTGTTTGTCTTGTGATGAATGCCGATATTAAGAATGTGTCATTGGGGGAATATGCATTTGATTAATGTACAACCACGATGTGTCATAAGGCTCAGTACTGCTTGTTTTACAAACGTCTTGAGGACATACAACTGCAGTCAAGCGTAAACGCCAGATGCCAGACGCCAATAATAATAATAATAATAATAATAATAATAATAATAATAATAATAATAATAATAATGAAAACAGAAATATGATAATAGAAATGATGAAAACGAGAGCACTTCAACAACTTTCAATAATCAATATCAGAATAAAACCTCCCCCAAGTCTCTACCGTTGATGGACATGATATAATAATGTATGCTAGCTCCACCGCCATCAGTCACGGTGAGGAGAAACATAATAATAATGATAATAATAATGATGATGATAATAATATTAATGATGGTGATGATGTTTGTAGTACTACTACTACAACGACTAGTACTGCTACTACTACTACTACTACTACTACTACTACTACTACTAATGTTCAGGAAAAAACAAGGTTAATAATAATAATAATAATAATAATAATAATCATCATCATCATCATAATAATAATGAAATATTAATAAAAAATAACATCAACAATAATAACACTACTACTACTACTGCTGCGATTTAGGATTTGTTTTTTGTTTTTTTGTTTGTTGTTTAACGCCGCACTCAGCAATATTCCAGCTATATGACGGCGGTCTGTAGATAATCGAGTCTGGACCAGACAACCCAGTGATTGGAATGTTGCCACTGGGTTTGGTATAACGTTAATAACAATATGCACTTGGTTAAAATAAGGCTAGGATATCTTTTGCCTACATCCTGTGACGCAAATAGCATGTTACGAGTGATGAGTACCTGTCATTCGATGTAGCATAAAATAAGTTACTTCCGTCTCTTCCTTCTTTCACCATGACGTACTTATGAACATGGAGAAGTATTTGATTATTTGATTTAGAAAACAAAAGATTAACATTTACTGGTGAGATGGTATAGGAGTGACCACCAATCAGGACTCGTCTGGTGGGTTGCCTGGCCGCTCCGAGACGCGCTGATGACGTCAGCCCACGTGACCCGGCTGTCATACCTACATGAGGGGTGGTGTATATAAGTCTCCGTGCCAGCAGGGGGTCACATCTGCCTTTAATAACCAGGAGCAAACACAGGGAACAAGTGGTAAGAACAAAAGCAAATTGAAATAGGTTCATATATTTGGCAAAAATACTTTTCTATGTAAAAACAAAATTGAAGGTGGAATTGAATGACTTTAAAAATCACAAAAATCTCCTCTCCATTTACGAAAAAAATATTCCTAAAAACTATATGTGATGTGACTACATTGTTGTTCGTTCCAGAAACAAGGAAGAAACAAAATGAAGCTGCTCTTGTTGTCGGTGTTGATGTTGAACATATGTGGAACTGTCGCAGATGATGACGAGGGATTTTCGACGTGGGGTGCACCCTGGTCACAGACAGGTAAAAGAAAGACTTTTATCACTTTTTAGAAACTTAAAGGGCTCATCAGTATATGGCTGAAATATTACCGACATTAACTCACTCACCCTTATACAGCAACATAATAAAACGCAAAACTTTTACTTGGTACATTTAGAAAAGAGGTTTTTTATTTGGAAGTGCATCCGATCTGTTTCATTTGGGGCAGGGTTCAGATTGATGCTGGCAAGTGTGTCAGAGGCTGTAATGTGATAGATGGTTCATGTGATATCACAGAGGAGGACGACACGATCTGTGACTAAACAAGTCCAACTGGCTCCCGGAGGAGACTTGAACCGCCGTGTATGCGGTCGCTCCATGCACAGCTCCATAGCATGACCTTGCTAATGAATATCATTTATATGATGGCGTCGACTGGAAGAAACCGTTGATTTATTAGTTAAATATACTTGGGTGTAGAAACATCAGGAAAGTTAAAGCATTTTATAATGCTGCATTTACCAGCATGATGAGGATTGATAAGTAGGAATGATAAGAAGGAATGCTAGGATTTGTTTTTTGTTTTTTTTGTTTGTTGTTTAACGCCGCACTCAGCAATATTCCAGCTATATGACGGCGGTCTGTAGATAATCGAGTCTGGACCAGACAACCCAGTGATTGAAATCATACGCATCGATCGACGCAAATGGGATACGATGACATGAATCAACCAAGTCAGCGAGCCTGACCACCCGATCCCGCTAGTCGCCTCTTACGACAAGCATGGTCGCTGAAGACCAATTCTGGATTGGTAGGAAGGATTGAAGGTTTGGCTTCTCCAAGCAATCAACTCCCGACTATCTTCATCACCGTACCTGTCGTTGTCGTGGAAGTGTCTGTACGTACACCGAAGTCAGTGGAGTCAGATCGCGTCCAGCACAAACTTCCTATGATTTCAGGAACATAGGGGCCCCGGGTCTAAGGCGCCGCGATTCGCTGTGCAGACGCGTCCCTTGGGCACGCAAGAAATCTATGATTGTTGGTTCGAATCCCGGTTCGCCCCGATTATGTTTCTAGGTTTGTCAGCACCATACCCGTGCTCGTGGATTTCACTGAAGTGGTAAATGTCTGAGACCTGCATCACTTCGGGCTTTCCTCACACATTAAGCTGACACGCCGTGATATAACTGGAATACTGTTAAAAGCGGCGTAAAACCCAACTCACTCACTCACTCGGGAACATAGTGAGTGAGTGAGTGAGTGAGTGAGTGAGTGAGTGAGTGAGTGAGTGAGTGAGTGAGTGAGTGAGTGAGTGCGTTTAACGCCAATATGAACAGCATTTCAGTTACACCATCCTCGTGAGTCAGCTAAACGTTGGAGGAAGGTCCGAATTGAGGCAGGTTTTGAGGTTCAGAACTTAGGGCATGGGTAAAATAGGCACGTTAGTTTGGTATGTTTGTGTTGACAAGGGTACTTACAGACATGTTAATATTGAAATGTGTTTTGATCTGAGCAATGTTGACACGGTATTGGTCGGTCTCTAATGTTTGAAATGTCATACCCCGCCTCCTTGTGTGTGCTATAATGTATTATACGTGGTGTCATGTGTCGCCTGCAGACACGAGTGACATTTACAGCTAGGATCCTGGTAGGGTCTCACCTTTGTATGTTCATGTTTCCTGAATATGTCTTTTGTTCGGGAAGTATTTCAACATGGTTGGAAGGTGAGATATTGTTTTCAACGCTCATCCCGACAATATTTCTGAATAATTTCAGGTATGACATTGCTGACATTTTTTATGTTTTCTCTAAAAGAGACTACGCAATTGCTTTTAAGGATCTTAAGAAATTACAGTAAAATACGGTTATAACGAACAAAAGGGACCATTAATTTAAGTTCGTTTTAACCGTAGTTTGTTTAAAGCACACATACTGCCTTTATACAGCAAATGGAGGGGACCCAAAAACAGTTCGTTATATCCGTTAGTTCGGTATAAGCATGTTCGTTATAAACATTTTTTACTGTATTTAAATATTTATGATAGAGTTGCAGGTATGGTTCTTGTTTCTCTACACAACTAGATTGTTCAGAAAATACGACTCGCATATCAACAAAACAGGGAGAGTATGTCCAAACCTGATTATATGACATTGTATTCAGCAGATTCATGAAACTCCCCCACCTAACTCACACTGCTGTGTTAGAGAGGTCATTGTATTCATAAAGTTTATATAAACCATACCTAACTCACGTACGTGTTAGAGAGGTCATTGTATTGAGAAGGTTTATATAAACCATACCTAACTCACACTGCGGTGTTAGATAGGTTATTGTATTCATAAAGTTTATATAAACCATACCTAACTCACGTACGTGTTAGAGAGGTCATTGTATTGAGAAGGTTTATATAAACCATACCTAACTCACGTACGTGTTAGAGAGGTCATTGTATTCATAAAGTTTATATAAACCATACCTCACTCACGTATGTGTTAGAGAGGTCATTGTATTCATAAAGTTTATATAAACCATACCTAACTCACGTACGTGTTAGAGAGGTCATTGTATTGAGAAGGTTTATATAAACCATACCTAACTCACGTACGTGTTAAACAGGTCGTTGCATTGAGAAGGTTTATATAAACCATACCTAACTCACGTACGTGTTAAACAGGTCGTTGTATTGAGAAGGTTTATATAAACCCTCACTAAAATCGCCTACTGTGTCGGAAGAATGGCCAGTTGATCTGAGATCTGGGGGTCATTGTATTCAGAAGGTTTATATAAACCGTCACTAAAATCGCCTACTGTGTCGGAGGAATGGCCAGTTGATGTCTACAATCAGCACTGATTGATGCTTCTTTCTGTGCGACGTCCGGGACATAGAGAGGGTTGTCCTCCCCTACATCGATGGTCAACTGTTGACGGAGGACCTCCTCAGGTCGCATGTTCTGACATGGCCAGATGCTGTAGCCACTGGACGTGACGGATGACGACAACATAAGCTAATCTCACCATCACCCGGGGATGGACAATTAGGTTCAGCCCAGACTGTCGGGGAGTAATTAATACCATTACATACATTTTTGTGTCTGTAGATAGGTGGATGACATTAGCACGGGTACTGATGTGTTTGTATATAGATAGATCACATAGGCACGAGTATTGATGTATCTGGTCAGGGGGGTCACATTGGCACGAGTATTGATGTATCTGGTCAGGGGGATCACATTGGCACGAGTATTGATGTATCTGGTCAGGGGGATCACATTGGCACGAGTATTGATTTATCTGGTCAGTGGGATCACATTGGCACGAGTATTGATGTATCTGGTCAGTGGGATCATATTGGCACGAGTATCTGTGTATCTGAGTATGGTGTATCTGTAAACAGTTGGTCCCTCCGAGAATATGTTCAAATCAACATGTACAGCTGCAAGTACCATCATCTAAGTTAGAGACTTTGGGCTCAAGATCATTCAGTGTTGCTGTCGCTTGTTTGTGAAATTCTCAAACTCTCATACTGAAATTAAAACCAACTCTCCAGTCTTTCAAATGAGGACTTAAAACTTATTTTCTCCAAGGCTATTTCCAGTGACATTCTTTCAGGCTCTTGTATATATGTATATATGCTGTTAGCGCTTTGTTCTTACCCTATCCCTTAGTGATGTGGATTTTAGCGCTATATATATGTCCATATTATTATTATTATTATCATTATTATTGGGTTCACATTAGCACGTGTTCGTATGCGTCTGTAGACAGGTAGATAAAATTAGCATGGTTCGAACAACTACAAAATATATGCACATTATGGGACACGCCATACATGATATGACTGTAGACTGATTCCTCCCCGGGGTAAGCCCAGCCATGCATAACCCACCAGCAGCTAATCGTGCAGGGTCGAGTTCTAATTACAGAACGTATGTCGAGATGGAATGCTTTGAGATGACCTTCATTGATGTTGCTGACAAATGTTCCTTGATCCTCAGGTGGAGGCGACAGCGGCGAGGTGACGGGCGGGTTCGGTTACCAAGGCAACATGTACTACGGCACTGGCCAAACAGGCCAAACAGGAAACTACCAGGGTTACCCTGTCAACTACGGAAACCCGCTCATACAGGGCTACCCTGGTAACTATGGAAACGCAGGTAACCAAGGTTACCCCATGTATCCCGGGTCATCAGGAGGACGCTCCAGCCAGGGGAGTGGCGGGGTGCAGGGTGGCTGGTACCCGGCCGTACAACCCACCAACACCTTCGTCTCCGGCGGTGTGTCTCCCAACATCTACCACTACATGCAGCAGGGGACTGGCAGCGTCATGGCCGGCGGAGATAGTTCGGCGGAAAAATCCGCCGCCGTCTACCCACAACCTACCATGGCTTCCAGCGAGGAACAGAATGTATCGCCGGTTGGGGATTATTATGATTATAGTGACGAACATGTGCACTCGACTGCAACCTCAGGGGGTGACTCGTATGACAGTGGGGAAAATGTGCCATCGACTGCATCAACAGGAAGTGATTCGGACGACAGCGGGGAACATGTGCCCGTTGCTGTAACCACAGGAGGGGACTCCGACAGCAGCGAACATCTACCATCGCCAACATTTGGGGTCATGGGAGGCGACTCTGGAGACAGTGGAGAAAATCAAGTCCGAGTTATCTACCCTGGACAGACAGTTGTCGTTGGTGACGGTGACAACTCTGCTGAAACTGTCCTGGGCGGCGGCATCAACCTCACCCCATCAGGTAAATACTGTAGGTCGGAGAGTGAGTGAGTGAATGAGTGAGGGAGTGATGTCTCGCGTGTGTTGACCGTTGGTTGGGGAAGTTGTTTGTGTGTCGCGCGGGAGATTCGAGTTTGATTCCCAATTATCTGATAACAGCTGATTGTATTTGCCAGAGATATATCGAGTATGTGTAAGTTATATATGGTTCTTTTAAGTTAGGTGATATGTATACGTGGCTTCTCATATGTGTTAGACCCGTGAAGACCCGGGAGAGAATAGGTCTTCAGAAACCCATACTTACCGTAAAATGCGATTATGCTTGTCATAAGAGGCGACTAACGTGATCGGGTGGTCAGGCTCGCTGACTTGGTTGATGCGTGTCACCGTATCCCAATTGCGTGGATCGATGCTCATGATGTCAATCACAGGATTGTCTGGTCCAGACTATGTTTGCAGACCGCCGTCACATAGGTGGAATAGTGCTGTGTGCGGCGTTAAACAACAAACAAACAAGCAAACAAGCAAAAACATCATATGTGTTGATGAATTAAAGAAAGACGTGAATCGTGTTATGCACTATCACAATATGTAAATGTCTGTCAATGTCAGAGAGCCTGGATCGATGTTGTAATGATACACCGATATTCCCGTGTTGTGTTTATACAACCCAATGTCTTATGTTGTGTTTGTATAACCCAATGTCTCATGTTGTGTTTATACAACCCAATGTCTCATGTTGTGTTTATACAACCCAATGTCTCATGTTGTGTTTATACAACCCAATGTCTCATGTTGTGTTTATACAACCCAATGTCTCATGTTGTGTTTATACAACCCAATGTCTCATGTTGGCTGGCATCTACAAATTCCAGGGTGCCAGGAACTCCTAGAGATTGTCGCCGTTGTCGACGGATCTGACAGCATCTCCGCCATCGACTTCCAGACGCTGAAGCACACCCTCCTCACCATGGTCGACCAGCTGAACATCAACGACAACAACCAACGTTTCGGAGTCGTCCTCTACAGCACCAACATATCCGCCGTCATTAATCTCAGCGGGGACGCGGCCTATCTCAAGCTTCAGATCAGTCAGTTGGGCCATCCCCGTGACGGCACAAACACTGCCGACGGCATCAGCGCCATGAACGACATGTTGCAGCGGTATGCCCGTCCTGGCGTCCCCAAGGTGGCGGTGGTCATCACCGACGGGATTTCGAAGAACCCTGGCGCTACCGCCCAGGCGGCCCGAGTGTCCAAGCTCCTGGGGGTCAACATGTTTGCCGTCGGGGTGGGGCTGAAAACGGACATCGTGGAACTTCAGTCCATCGCTTCCGGCTCGGATCACGTTCTGACGGTGGCACAGTTTCAGCAGTTGGACGGGCTTCTTGACCAGCTCTTCAAGCGCGTGTGTCCAGGTAGGTCATCACTGAGTCAAACACGCAATTAAAGCATGAATGTTGTAGATGAAAGACACTGTGACGTGATTGGTACCCTTCATGTACCACAAACACTGTTTGATTATATCACGTGACAGGCGGCTCAAGCGGGACGGTTGACATCATGGCTGTGAGGGTTTGGGCTCAGTTTATTTGGAGATATCATGGGAAGCGCAGGGCAGTTGTAGTGCTAGGCTATTAGCGCGCGATGTAAAGTACATGAGTTATAACAGTTGTAGTGCTACTAGAGCACGATGTAAAGTACATGAGTTATAACAGTTGTAGTGCTAGGTTTTTAGAGCGCGATGTAAAGTACATGACTTATAACAGTTGTAGTGCTAGGTTATCAGAGCGCGATGTAAAGTACATGAATTACAACAGTTGTAGTGCTAGGCTATCAGAGTGCTATGTAAAGTACATGATATCGCAGTTGTAGTGCTAGGCTATCAGAGCGCGATGTAAAGTACACGAGTTATAACAGTTGTAGTGCTAGGCTATCAGAGCGCGATGTAAAGTACCCGAGTTATAACAGTTGTAGTGCTAGGCTTTCAGAGTGCGATGTAAAGTACATGAGTTATAACAGTTGTAGTGCTAGGCTATCAGAGTGCGATGTAAAGTACATGAGTTATAACAGTTGTAGTGCTAGGCTATCAGAGCGCGTTGTAAAGTACATGAGTTATAACAGTTGTAGTGCTAGGCTATCAGAGCGCGTTGTAAAGTACATGAGTTATAACAGTTGTAGTGCTACTAGAGCACGATGTAAAGTACATGAGTTATAACAGTTGTAGTGCTAGGTTTTTAGAGCGCGATGTAAAGTACATGACTTATAACAGTTGTAGTGCTAGGTTATCAGAGCGCGATGTAAAGTACATGAATTACAACAGTTGTAGTGCTAGGCTATCAGAGTGCTATGTAAAGTACATGATATCGCAGTTGTAGTGCTAGGCTATCAGAGCGCGATGTAAAGTACCCGAGTTATAACAGTTGTAGTGCTAGGCTTTCAGAGTGCGATGTAAAGTACATGAGTTATAACAGTTGTAGTGCTAGGCTATCAGAGCGCGTTGTAAAGTACATGATACTTTGATATGCGGCCGAAGCACCATGTCGTCACTATGAAAAGGGATCTAGTTCCTACCCTATGAGAAGGAATCTACATCTTACGTAACGATCAGACAACCAGAAGGGGGTCACTGACCACTCGGATTAAAATCTTATTTCCAACTGATCTGATCCCGAGATGCTTTGTAGCGCTGCCATGACACATGTGATAGATGATGGCGGCCATCACAGAAGCTGCCTGATAAATGACCATGTCCTGGTCGTGATCTCAAACAGGGGATAGACGTCACGTGACCACTCCTATTTATAGTAACTCGTGATTCACATGACGACATCAAAGAGACCTGAGTCGGGGAATATAAGGGATGTGGGGGAGGGATGTAGAGAAGGATGTAACTGGAGTGATGTCACCTCCTCGACACAGGCCCCAATAAACGCCACTGTGTACATGTGTTCAACCGTAAACTGACACTTAATTATCACCCTAAACGCTCACCCTAAACACTTACCCTCAAGATTGCCCCCATACACTTTCCCTTGATGCTATGCAGGAGTATGTCAGTGCCACTCTACAGAACACTGGTATTGCCGATAACTTACTTGTTAATGCGATACCACACTTTGATTGGGCCTGAAATGTATTAATTACGTAGACAGTAGAACACCGACAACTGTCTGACCACCCCCCTCCAGCCCCCCAACTGCCACCAGCCCCTACACACACACACCCACGCACCCACCCCGCCCACCTTGGTCTACTTCATCCAGGTGACTGCATCAGCGGCGCTGCAGTGATCATTTGGGACATCACTTTAACACTGAAATGTGACGTCATAAATGTTTACAAGAAAACAGCGCGTACAGGGATCACAGGCGAAATAAACAGGGCGTTTATTTCCCATAAATGTCACGTGACCATCCCCTCCTGTCAGTGAGCTGTCTCCGTGGCTGGCTGTCTCCGTGGTGACAGTTTACATACATATACTCGTGTAGTGTGGTCGTTACATTATTGTTTCTCGCCCCCTAATGTCTCGTCAGTCTCACGTTAACGTACGTCGCTGTTGTGGAGAACCAGGGCCGACATACCCTCACAGCAGTCGGCAGTAGGCAGTGTGCCACGTCATCATATTGCTGGAATATGGCTAGAATATTGTTGGAATATGGCTGGAATATTGCTGAATTATGGCTGGAATATTGTTGGAATATTGCTGGAATATTGCTGGAATATGGCTGGAATATTGCTGGAATATGGCTGGAATATTGCTGGAATATTGTTGGAATATTGCTGGAATATTGCTGAATTATTGCTGGAATATTGCTGGAATATGGCTAGAATATTGTTGGAATATGGCTGGAATATTGCTGAATTATGGCTGGAATATTGTTGGAATATTGCTGGAATATTGCTGAAAATAACAAACTCAAATGGACCACTAATTTTAGTTCGTTAAAACCGTAGTTCGTTCTAAGCATATATACAACATCTATACAGCAAATGGCCGGGACCAAAATGTTAGTTCGTAATATCCGTCAGTTCGTTATAAGCGTGTTCGTGATAAACGTTTTTTACTGTATCTATCTTAGCTGTGCGGGTGGGGTGGGGTGGGGTAGGGTGGGGTGGGCTGAGGCGGGGTGGGGTGGCGTGGTTTGAATGCCAGATTTGATCTCACGATGTTTTAGATAAAAACAATACTGTTAAGAACGGCGTTACGCCAAATCACTTTTGCAACTTGATGTATATAGATCGCCTGTTTGTTACACATCTCCATATTACCCCACAATGTATATCTGTTCTTCATCCTGTACTTCTTCTCTAGTTCAAGGAGGATGGACCCACTGGGCTGATTCATACGGCGCATGCTCAGTCTCGTGTGGGGGTGGGTCACAGGTCATCACGCGCACCAGAACGTGCACAAACCCTGCCCCCGCAAATGGCGGCTTGTACTGCGTGGGGGACGCCGTGGTGACGTTGGCAGGGGCTTGCAACACACACGGGTGTCCAGGTAGGTGGCGAGTCACATTAATGTACAACGGATATACCAATGTATGTATGGTTATACATAAGAACCGTATGTAGTGATGCACATTAACCATATATGGGTATGTAAATTAATCGATATCTAGTGATGTATATCCACTTTATTTGCTGATGTACAGCTAATGTATCTAGTGATGTATATCTAATCTGTGAGTGCACCTATGGTACAGTAAATTGGACCATCACGTTTGTGTCATTTACCACGCGATGTGATTTTGGTGATGGTCATCATTGAATTATCCTTGTCCCCAGTTAACGGAGGATGGAGTTTGTGGATTGACACTGTAGCTCAGTGCTCTGTGTCATGTGGTGGAGGATCTCAACTTGTCACTAGAACCAGAACCTGTACAAACCCCGCCCCTGCCTATAACGGCCTCTACTGTGTTGGACATGACAGAGCTACATTCACACAGGCGTGTAACACCCAGGGATGTCCAGGTACTGTCTTGTTGGTAATTTCCCTTGGAAGAAACAAATGTTTGGCTTTTGCCATCGGTAAAATCTGGTAACGCGATCGTGACCAAGAAAATAAATCGCACTAGAATTCTTTCAATATGAAGTTCGAACCATTTACTGTATTTTATATTTGAATTAAGATGAAGTTAAATTTGCCATTAAGCCCTGAAACCAAAATAAACTCAACGGTAAATACCCTTGACCAGCATCTGAATGGTAAACAATTGTGTCCCCAGTTGACGGAGGTTGGAGTTTGTGGATTGACACTGTAGCTCAGTGTTCTGTGTCATGTGGTGGAGGATCTCAACTTGTCACTAGAACCAGAACCTGTACAAACCCCGCCCCTGCCTATAACGGCCTGTACTGTGTTGGAGACAACAGAGCTACATTCACACAGGCGTGTAACACCCAGGGCTGCCCAGGTATTTTGCTTCTGAAATTAACTTGTTTACGGCCTATAAGATATATTTTCTTTGGGAACACTAAATGTAAACACGTATTACCGTTTATGTTCAATTGGTCAAACCCATAAACTTAAATATAATAACCGAGTTTTAACTTTATCAAGAATAATTTCCTAATGTTTGCCTTGATGCTGTGTGTCCCCAGTTAACGGAGGATGGAGTTTGTGGATGGACAATGTAGCTCAGTGCTCTGTGTCATGTGGTGGAGGATCTCAACTTGTCACTAGAACCAGAACCTGTACAAACCCCGCCCCTGCCTATAACGGCCTGTACTGTGTTGGAGACGACAGAGCTACATTCACACAGGAGTGTAACACCCAGGGCTGCCCAGGTACATTATCCATGTTTAATAGACTTTACTGAGATTTAATGATAGCCGACATAGCGCGCCATAGTACTCAGCACAGACATGAGAAGGTGAAGCTAAATAGAAACCATCTTGCAAAGGAAGATTCTACACATTGTTCAACCCCTTATCAACCTAAGTACTTCCGGGCGAATCACTCAGACAGGCTGCCTCTCTGTAGGTCATCTCCGATGGTAAAAAGTGAAGAAGCATATTCCATGTGTCGAGTGATACATACCATTTCACGACATGTAATATCCAATTAATCATATACTTTTTGTTTAGTTGTCTACCGGGACATTCAATAATTTAATTGTAAATGAAAAACGTTAAACGTACATTCCTCCTACCTGACAGGCAAGGACGTTTCACCACCCTCGTGATTGCGAATATAGACAAAAATAACAAAATGTAATTGAAATAAATAAATAGGATAACATACAAATTCAAGCTCAGGAAAAAATATTCTTAAAATCCTTGAATCATAACACATGATATTACACTGCATTGAAAATATGATATTTCTCAACTTAAAAAATGCAGTCTGACACACTGAAGTGTGTAATAATTGTGATTACTCACTTCCTCAGTATGTCAATATGCAGTACATATATGGCGGCGTTTGGTGTAATAATAGACACATTCTGATTGATGATTATTCACAATATATTCAAATATAGATTCAATATCTTTGGCACACTCGACCTGGCAAGCTTATAGAACGTATAAATCTGTATTGATAGTATGACCATATGCTAATATTCTTATGTGTATTGTTGTGTTCTATATAAATCGTACTCCTAGATGCAATTGCAACCACGTGCATGATCATGTATTCAGCTTGATATCATGTATTATGTACTATGTATCATGTACCATGTACCATGTACCATGTATCATGTATTCAGCTTGTTGAGAGGTCTTCCTGTAGATCTGTATCTGTAGCGTTAACCTTCCTATATCCCCAGTTGACGGAGGATGGAGTGTGTGGACGGACACTGTAGCTCAGTGCTCTGTGTCATGTGGTGGAGGATCTCAACTTGTCACTAGAACCAGAACCTGTACAAACCCCGCCCCTGCCTATAACGGCCTGTACTGTGTTGGAGATGACAGAACTACATTCACACAGGCGTGTAACACCAAGGGCTGCCCAGGTACTTGTCCCTCTGTCTCGGTGGTATTCCTGGAACCATCACGTGGCGGTTGCAGCACGTGAATCTCAATCAGCTGGCGTTGTCTTGCAACACGTGCAGCGTTTAGTGTTCTCATTCTTTCAATTTGATAAGGATCACATTAACATTATTACGAGCATCGGCTGATATACGATGTCAAAGATTTCAATTTCTTACTGTATAATAAACATACACGTAATTTCCCACAGCATACAGGGTTAAGTCATACGTCGCCGTGAACACGGTTCCTTAGGAACCATAAAAAAACACACGCAAATACCAGACAATCGGGAACAATTGGCCAAATACAACACGCAAATACCAGACAATCGGGAACCTTCAGACAAACACCACGCGCAAATACTAGACAATCGGGAGCCTTCAGACAAACACGATAAGCAAATACCAGACAATCGGGAACCTTCAGACAAACACAACACACAAATACCAGACAATCGGGAACCTTCAGACAAACACAACACGCACATACCAGACAATTGGGAACCTTCAGACAAACACCACACGCACATACCAGACAATCGGGAACCTTCAGACAAACACCACATGCAAATACCAGACAATCGGGAACCTTCAGACAAACACCACACGCGCATACCAGACAATCGGGAACCTTCAGACAAACACCACACGCGCATACCAGACAATCGGGAACCTTCAGACGAACACCACACGCAAATACCAGAAAAGCAGAAAATATACAATAGTGATGAAATAAATTTTGCTGTTCTCTTTCTTTCAACTAATAGTTTCATTGCTGAAAAGAGCATTTACCGATCAATACAACGTAAACGAACCCTTATTCTTGTTGTTTTGTATCTGTACAATGAATATTTCCTTTGTGTCCCCAGTTGACGGAGGTTGGAGTGTGTGGACGGACACTGTAGCTCAGTGTTCTGTGTCTTGTGGTGGAGGATCTCAACTTGTCACTAGAACCAGAACCTGCACAAACCCCGCCCCTGCCTATAACGGCCAGTACTGTTTTGGAGACGACAGAACTACATTCACACAGGAGTGTAACACCAAGGGTTGCGCAAGTATAAACAACATTTATGGAAATATTATCCTAAACTTTCAGTATCGTATTGATCACAATAATCTCAATTACTGTCGATAAAAATGGAATATGTTTGTTAACTCTTTATCTTTTTCAATAATATTCACAGTTGGTCAACTCCGAATTTGTTGCTATGTCACGGAGTGCGAAATGTGATTAACTTATTATTGAAATTTTGATTATTCTAAAATAATTGTCATGATATTCTATGTAGATATAATATTCTTCAGGAATTGTTCATAGAATTGGGGATCCCTTAAACAATTGTCGATTGGAAGACAAACCACTTAAATCTACCGCATGGGAATGTTCAATGATTTGAAAAAGTCGTATTTACGATGTTCAGCAGTAAACAAAAGTATTAGAGCAACAAGGACACATACAGATGTATTTACATTGACCCAGCACGCTTGGACTTCCTTGTATTGTTGTTTTGTCGTTTTGTAATTATTGTAATTATCGTGTTCACAGTTGACGGAGGATGGAGTGTGTGGACGGACACTGTAGCTCAGTGTTCTGTGTCCTGCGGTGGAGGATCTCAACTTGTCACTAGAACCAGAACCTGTACAAACCCCGCCCCTGCCTATAACGGCCCGTACTGTGTTGGAGATGACAAAGCTACATTCACACAGGCGTGTAACACCCAGGGCTGCTCAGGTTTGTAATGTTGACATAGATTGCACAATGAATCTGTAGACAGGGTTTGAGTTGGACATGTGTATGAAAGACTTTCTTGATCAAGATTTAAGTGAGTAAGATATGTGAGAGTTATGTTCATGTGTTATTTACGGGCGGACAGTTTGGTTTAAATGTGTTACCGTCACACACTTGGCAAGACGGAGATTGTGTCTCCAATTTGACCGGATATTTAAGACAATTTTGAGGCAATGTTTGAGGCAATATTCAAGGCAATGTTTGAGGCAATATTTAAGGCAATGTTTGAGGCAATGTTTGAGGCAATATTTAAGGCAATGTTTGAGGCAATATTCAAGGCAATGTTTGAGGCAATGTTTGAGGCAATATTTATGGCAATATTTGAGGCAATATTCAAGGCAATGTTTGAGGCAATGTTTGAGGCAATATTTAAGGCAATGTTTGAGGCAATATTTAAGGCAATATTTGAGGCAATATTCAAGGCAATGTTTGAGGCAATATTTATGGCAATGTTTGAGGCAATATTTAAGGCAATATTTGAGGCAATATTTAAGGCAATGTTTGAGACAATGTTTAAGGCAATATTTAAGCCATTGTTTTGAGGTGCTAAAACAAAATGCCAACGTCTTCGGATCAGTTGCATGTAGGCCAAGCGAGCGAAGTACTGATGTCTTCCACCCAGGCGAACGCTTGGTATCCTATAATGATATATTCCACACGGATTTTTCTGAAAGTGAATCGGACAGGCTACACTAGCGTGCATATTATTCAGACAGAAGTAGTTATACATATATTTATATCATTATGCATATTTAATATAAGACTGTATCTCTAAAGTTTTTTGTTTTATATTGTATCTGTACGATGAATGTTTTCTCTTTGTCCCCAGTTGACGGAGGTTGGAGTGTGTGGACGGACACTGTAGCTCAGTGTTCTGTGTCATGTGGTGGAGGATCCCAACTTGTCACTAGAACCAGAACCTGTACAAACCCCGCCCCTGCCTATAACGGCCAGTACTGTGTTGGAGACGACAGAGCTACATTCACGCAGGCTTGTAACACCCAGGGATGCCCAGGTGAGGATGACATCGCGTGTGATGCGGGGAAAGAGGGGATGGGGGTTATTTGGCTTGGGGAGAGTAGCTTCCGTGTTGGTGGATAGCCAGGATTGTCTGTGAGCAGCAATACATACAGCATGACACTGCATCGTCAGAATGACTAACAATAGGAACACTCGTCACTGTGATTAACAGTAGCAACACTCGCCACTACATTTACCAGAAGATGCATTCGTTGCAACGAGTAACAATAGAAACTTTCGCCACTCAAACATCAGTAGAAGCATTCGTCACCACAAGCAACAATAGCAAGTTCGTCACCAAAAGTAACAGGAGATACATGCGTCACCACATACATCCCCCAAAACATTGGTCACGATAAACAACAATAGCAAAATTCTTCACAACAAGTAACAACAGAAACTATCGAACTTTGACCCTTGACATACGCCCCAGAGAAAGTTGCCGGGTTTGGTTGCCAAATATCCAGATGTTTCTTTGACTAGCATTAAGAAGCTGTAGTTTGTTGAAAATGCTATAACTTACTTCGTGTTAAAGGCCGTGCCAAAATGTAGCATTGGAAGACTACAAAGAAGTTAAATACACCAGTGAACCCTGCCTACATGCTTAATGTTTCCTCTTTGTCCCCAGTTGACGGAGGATGGAGTGTGTGGATGGACACTGTAGCACAGTGTTCTGTGTCATGTGGTGGAGGATCTCAACTTGTCACTAGAACCAGAACCTGCACAAACCCCGCCCCTGCCTATTACGGCCAGTACTGTGTTGGAGATGACAGAACTACATTCACACAGGCGTGTAACACCCAAGGCTGCCCAGGTATTTTACTTGTGAAATAAATCAACTTGTTGACGGACAATATCAATATTTGTTTTTGGGAACAGATTATGTTGACAGAAGTTACTTTTTTATGTTCAATTAGTCAAAACATCGTCAACTTTAAAACAATTTGCGAATTTCACCTTTTTAAGAATAATTTAACCTTTGTGCTGTGTGTCCCCAGTTGACGGAGGATGGAGTTTGTGGACGGACACTGTAGCACAGTGTTCTGTGTCATGTGGTGGAGGATCCCAACTTGTCACCAGAACCAGAACCTGCACAAACCCCGCCCCTGCCTATAACGGCCAGCACTGTGTTGGAGATGACAGAGCTACATTCACACAGGCGTGTAACACCCAAGGCTGCCCAGGTACACTGCAGATTGAAATGACTGTAGATTGTTGTTGGTTTTATCTCCTTAAATCTCACACCTGCTGTGAGCGTTCCCCACTAATGTCCCCACAGCGTGTGACGGAGTCTCCAGTGGAAGCCATATTGAACTGATGCAGGGGGTCTGACAAACACAGTCTTTATTATTGCAATGTTTACAAATACCACTTGGTATCAGATATATTCTCATTAATGCAAAAGAAAACGATTACAAAACTCTAAGGAGAGTTATAAACCTTAAATTGTACACAATTGATAATGGATATATTTGATGCGTTATTTTATCTCCAGTTGACGGAGGTTGGAGCAATTGGACGGACACTGTGGGCCAGTGCTCTGTGTCATGTGGTGGAGGATCTCAACTTGTCACTAGAACCAGAACCTGTACAAACCCCGCCCCTGCCTATAACGGCCTCTACTGTGTTGGAGACGACAGAACTACATTCACACAAGCGTGTAACACCCAGGGTTGCCCAGGTAACCTTTAAGCAAATAATTTGATCATATCGACAAACACTTTACAAACCTTTATTCAGCGTCCACGATACCCATGCCAAAGGCTGTAGATACATCGGAGAAGAATACACATGATTTTAATTTTCTCACAATAATGATCCACATGACATGGTGAGGTGAGGTGAAATGGGGTTTAACGTCGCGTCCAAGATTATTGCACTTATATAGCGACGTGCATGCACCTGTATGTGTGTGTGTGGCTGCTTGTACTAGTCCGGACTGATGCTGATTTATGGTGCTAGCACACTGAGATACCATGCCACAGTTTAACATGAATACCCCACTCAGACACAGTATACTGACTCCGAGCCGACCAGTCCTTGTTTTAGCCCCTTAATGCCGAGCGCAAGACAGGGTAACAACAAGTACCATCTTTTAACCTCTTTTGGTATGACGCGGCTGGGGATCCCCATGACATGGACTCCCTTGGTATCCCGAGAGTCTCCCGCTCGTGATGACAGTGTGGGTCGTGTGTTGTAGTGGACGGTGGCTGGACTGCGTGGACAGAGGCTGCAGGAGAGTGTTCGCTGACCTGTGGCGGGGGTACCCAGACGGTGGTGAGGATGAGAAGCTGCACCAAGCCCGCCCCCAGCGCCGGGGGTAGCGACTGTGTCGGAGAACCCAGGGAGATTGTAACACGAGCGTGCAACACACAGCAATGTCCAGGTAATTCAGCCCCACCATCTAAACCTGGGTGATTTATACTACTCAAGTGTGAATTAATACGTGCATACATCCGACGGTCAAGGCTCCTCGAGTTAAGATTACTGGCGTGTTGTCACGTCCGACTGTCACAATGGCCTCGAGTGTAGACTGTAGTCCGTTTTCATTTCTATAGGCATATCCTTTCTGTTAAGAAAGAACCAAGTTGAGACAATGTGCTTTCATTTCTCTTCCAGTGACGACGACAGAGAAGCCGGATCTTGGTATGTGTTTACTTTCTCCATAGACTACACTATATAACAACGCTCTGTTCACAACCTGAATATTTTACGTTTTTAAAACAACACTATGCTATCAACCTACATAGATTGCTTTTGTGAATAAATATTATGTTTTTTTTATATGAAAAGATAAAATCAGTGGTTCCGAAACGAAATATATCGTAATATTATATCCACGAAAAGTAATATGACCTTTTGTTACACACAGGCAATGTCCTGCTATACTGATGCCCTTCTGTTATACTGATATCCTTCTGTTATACTGATATCCTTCTGTTATACTGATGTCTTTCTGTTATACTGATATCCTTCTGTTATACTGATATCCTTCTGTTATACTGATGTCTTTCTGTTATACTGATGTCTTTCTGTTATACTGATATCCTTCTGTTATACTGATATCCTTCTGTTATACTGATGTCCTTCTGTTATACTGATATCCTTCTGTTATACTGATATCCTTCTGTTATACTGATGTCTTTCTGTTATACTGATGTCCTTCTGTTATACTGATGTCCTTCTGTTATACTGATATCCTTCTGTTATACTGATGTCTTTCTGTTATACTGATATCCTTCTGTTATACTGATGTCCTTCTGTTATACTGATATCCTTCTGTTATACTGATATCCTTCTGTTATACTGATGTCTTTCTGTTACACAGAGGCAATGTTCTTCTGTTATACTGATCAATGTCCTTCTGTCCTCAGGCCTCTGCAACGACTGCAAGATGGACAACGGTATCGGCTACAACCCTCACCCCAGCGACTGCAACAAATACATTCAGTGCACGTTCGACAACAAGCAGCTGATCAAGGTCCAGGAGATGGAGTGTCCTCATGGCTTATACTGGGACCAGGACAAACTGACCTGCAACAGACCAGAGGAGGTCACGTGTCCTGCTGGTGAGTCAAGTCACACCATACATTATCATCCAGCATACAGGAAGCACTGGACACTAGCATCATCACCAGCCTCTATACTACATAGATAGCACTCGTCTGGTCACAACACATTTGTTTTTAGCAGGAACAAATTCCCTCAGCACCTAGTGTCTGACTCGTGCCTATGTAACATACATGTAGAAGCACCTGGCACTGATAAACATGAACAGGTTGGAATGCTGTAGGAAGACAAACCCGATACGTATTGTTGTTGGACATATATGTGTGAAGTATTCAAACAAAGTGAAGGAAATGTGTACAAAGTGCGACATCGTTGTGTGTAACCCTAACCCTAACTGAACTTGTGTCTCCAGAGCGGTGCAATGACCCCATGACGACGTCCTACCCCAGCGCTACGACCTGCAGCGGATACTGGGAGTGTGTAGGGGGCGTGTCCAAGGGCAGGTGTTGCCCCGAGGGCCAGGCCTACAGCATTGCCGGGTACTGCGTCCCCAGCACAACGTGCAAGACTCCTTGCAAGGGGGACGGAGGTCAGGGTACGTATCACCCAAGTCTCGATGGTCAACGACGTAAATGTCGGGATAAGATGATAACTTGTACGCGATGGTGTCTAATTTGATTACGGTAAGGTTTATTCTCAAGCGCATCCCATCTAAGAGACTCCGGCAGTTTAAAAACTTACCCTCGCTTTCAGGTGCTTGCGACAAGAGGCCCGTAGCCGGTGACAGCTCTCGATTCCAACAGTTCGCTAAAGGTCACGGATGGATAACCTTGACCTGCGCTCCCGGAAGTAGTTACAACTCTACTGAGTGCAGGTGCTCCATACAAGGCGGGATCATTTCTCCAGACAGTGAGTTATCGGATATCACTTCTGAACACCCCTACATAGTATCATTCTTCCTGTTTACCGCACAGATAACTTTGGCCGTGAAGATCCGGTGTAGAATAGGTCTTCAGCAACCCATGCTTGCCGTTAAAGGCTACTATACTTGTCGTAAGAGGCGACTAACGGGATCCGGTTGTCAGGCTCGCTCACGTGGTTGATACATGTCATCGTATCCTTATTGCGTAATGTGAATCATTGGATTGTCTGGTCCAGACAGCCGTCATATAGCTGAAATAGTGCTGAATGCGGCTTTAAACAAAAAAACAAAACAAACAAAACCAAAAAAAACAAACAACCCTTCCTATGTAGCCCACAGATAGCCTCGTCCGTCCTCCACTCTCAGATGATAGTCTCGTCCTTCCTTGATACCCCGACACCCTAACAGATGGCCTCGTCCTTCCTTGATACCCCGACACCCTAACAGATGGCCTCGTCCAGAGATAGCTTCCTCCTGCTTTACAACATGAGAAATAGACCCACCCCACCCCTGTTCATGTGTTAAATCAGGACCAAAAATAATACAGAATAAAATCACGATATCACCGGAAATATCACAAACATAGCTATCATGTTTATTTATTATATTTGCCAGCCTGCAAACCGGAAGTTTATCTATCCTTCACCGACGACGTTGGCGACAAGTCCGACAGCGGAGTCTACATTCAAAACGACGGCGTGAAGGTCCGAAACGGCGTGGGCTACTTTGACGGCAAGAGTGGTCTGAGGATTCCCAGATTCGCTAATGCCGGGTTAGGCAGCACTGTGTACATCAGAATCAGGTACCGAGGGGAGGGATCTGCCACCAGGAAACAGGCCTTGTTATCTAATGGTGACTGTGGCAAGGACAGCTCAATCACCATTGCCAGGGGACCAGCGTCTACGTACTTCGGTGTCCGCTCTGAGGCTAACAAGTCCGCCGGCGTGTCGGTCAGCAGCTTGGTGAGTTCTTACTCTGGGTTCCACAGAGAATATCCTATTCTAGTGAGTTCTTACTTTGGGTCCCACAGAGAACATCCTACTCTAGTGAGTTCCTTCTGTAGAACAGGGTTATTCATGTTCTAGTGACTTGGCATGTGTTGTTGGACATCTTCATGGCAGGATTTAAGTTCGGTAAATATACAAAGGTTAGCGACCTCCGCTATGTTATCCACTAGTATAAGTCACTAGTCTCTTGATTTGCACTTCAATAGCAAGCACCAGATGTGTTGTGTCCAACTGTGTCCTCATCCCATGTTTCAGAGCAATGGATGGAACGAGGCTTTCTTCAAGCTTGACGGTGGGATGCTGAGCGGAAGCGTGGGATCCTCTATGAAACAAACCGCCCTCCTCGGTAGGTGTCCCCTTCTTTCTATGTGTGGCCCCTACTCTCTACATTGTTTTGTGACCCGTGAAGATCCGGGGTAGAATAGGTCTTCAGCAACCTATGCTTGCCGTAAAAGGCGAATATGCTTGTCGTAAGATGCGACTAACGGGATTGGGAGGTCAGGTTCGCTGACTTGGTTGATGCATGTCATCGATCCCAGTTGCGTGGATCGATGCTCGTGATGTCAATCACAGGATTTTCTGGTCCAGACTCGATTATTTACAGACCGCCGTCATACAGCTGGAATATTGCTGAGTGCGGCGTTAAACAACAAACAAGCCAAACTTTGTCTCGTGTGTCGTAGCGAGGAAGGAAGGACATATGTGTAAGTGGGGTAATCACAGATATGTAACAGAGGGTAAATGCTACTGAGATAAATACATAAATGACGCGATGCACTACTGTGACTCATCCTCATCTTCTGTGTTCTCCAGGTAATGTTCAGAGAGCCAACTGTGCCATGCAGATCGGCAGAGGAACAAATTACGCCAACTTCCGGGGTTACATGGACAATGTAAGTCTATCTCGTGTGTGTCTTGTGTGTGTGTCTCGTGTGTGTCTTGTGTGTGTCTTGTGTATCTCGTGTGTGTGTCTCGTGTGTGTATCTTGTGTGTGTGTCTTGTGTGTCTCGTGAGTGTGTCTAGTTGTGTGTCTCTTGTGTGTGTCTAGTGTGTGTCTTGTGTGTGTCTCGTGTGTGTCTGTTGTGTGTATCTCGTATGTGTGTCTTTCCTGTGCGTCTCGTGTGTGTATCTCGTGTGTGTGTCTTGTGTGTGTCTCGTGTGTCTAGTGTGTGTCTTGTGTGTGTGTGTGTGTGTGTGTCTAGTGTGTATGTCTCGTGTGTATGTACCTCATGTGTGAGTTTCTTATGAGCACACCAAAATTTGCTCGCCAACAAATGTTTAACCAAAACACTTACTCGCTTTTAATGGGCGATGAGATAGCCTAGCAGATCGCTCGTCCAGCTGGCATTGCTTGAATATTGCTACAATACCCACTCATATATTTTCGTTAAGGATAGTAGTATTTATTATTTACGTACTGTTGACATGATTGTTTGCTTGTTTGTTCTCCAGCTCACCATCTACCTGTGTCGGCCCTGATCACCCGAAGAAGACATCACCACCGTTCTGATGACATCTTTGAATTCCATTTGCCATTTTGTAGTCGATATAGGATAGTTGTTGTAGGAACGTGTACATAGGACCACGCCATGATCCGTTAATAGAAGTAGGGATATTGTACCACAAACTGTTCCATATAAATATCTGTCTCTTATTTATTTCAAGACACTAATATTTATTGATCAGTGACGAGTAGTAAGTTAATAGACATACCTCTGATGTGGTTTATTGGTAGAAGGCTGTCTCTCCACCGTCGACGTGTGACATTCCATATGTCCAGTGTGTTTGAATGTTCATGTATATATGTTTGGTCCTGGACACACACTATTGAAGGAAGAACCACCTTTATCTCTGGTCATGCATGTTTCGTTTATTTCGTCATGTGTGTTTTGGTGAGAACCTGACAGCGAAGAGACCGTGTGTTGCTATAGCTACGCTGGGTCGCCACTGTGTTTACTCGTTTCTTACTTTTTTATACCTTATTACCGGCATCAAAACAATTTTGTTTTGAATTGATCAGATGCAAATAAAAACATGTTGCAAAATATTTTGCTTGTTCATTTGTTAAATTTGTCTGAGAAGCAAAGACAGACGTGTAGTTGATATTACATCACAGTTCACATCTATCTTCAATCACTGTTCCAACCTATAGACAGATGTATCAATCACAGTTGATGCTATAACTACACACTGAATGTACCCATCACAGACGATGCTATAACTACACACTGAATGTACCCATCACAGTTGATGATAAAACTACACACTGGATGTACCCATCACAGTTGATGATATAACTATACACTAAAGGTACCCATCACAGTTGATGCTATAACTACACACTGGATGTACCCATCACAGTTGATGCTATAACTACACACTGGATGTACCCATCACAGTTGATGATATAACTACACACTGAATGTACCCATCACAGTTGATGCTATAACTACACACTGGATGTACCCATCACAGTTGATGCTATAACTACACACTGAATGTACCCATCACAGTTGATGCTATAACTACACACTGAATGTACCCTTCACAGTTGATGCTATAACTACACACTGAATGTACCCATCACAGTTGATGCTATAACTACACACTGAATGTACCCATCACAGTTGATGATATAACTACACACTGAATGTACCCATCACAGTTGATGCTATAACTACACACTGAATGTATCCATCACAGTTGATGCTATAACTACACACTGAATGTACCCATCACAGACGATGCTATAAGTAAACACTGAATGTACCCATCACAGTTGATGATATAACTATACACTGAATGTACCCATCACAGTTGATGCTATAACTACACACTGAATGTACCCATCATAGTTGAATAAGTCTTCCAATGCTTTCCGTAATAGACGACTATGCTTGTCGTAAGAGGCGACTAACGTGATCGGGGTGTCAGGCTCGTGACTTGGTTGAAGTATGTCATCGTATCCCTATTGGATGGATGTTTGCTGATGATGTCACTCACTGGATTATCTGGTCTAGACTCGATTATTTTCAAACAGCCTTCATATAGCTTGACTATTGCTGAGTGCGGCGTTAAACAACAAACAAACAATCACAGTTGATGCTATGACTACACACTGAATGTACCCATCACAGTTGATGATATAAGTAAACACTGAATGTTCCCATCACAGTTGATGCTATAACTACACACTGAATGTACCCATCACAGTTGATAATAAAACTACACACTGAATGTACCCATCACAGTTGATGCTATAACTACAAACTGAATTTACCCATCACAGTTGATGCTATAACTACACACTGAATGTACCCATCACAGTTGATGCTATGACTACATAAAGAATGTACCCATCACAGTTGATGCTATAACTACACACTGGATGTACCCATCACAGTTGATGCTATAACTACACACTGAATGTACCCATCATAGTTGATGATATAAATACACACTGAATGTACCCATCACAGTTGATGCTATGACTACATAAAGAATGTACCCATCACAGTTGATGCTATAACTACACACTGGATGTACCCATCACAGTTGATGCTATAACTACACACTGAATGTACCCATCACAGTTGATGATATAACTACACACTGAATGTACCCATCACAGTTGATGCTATAACTACACACTGAATGTATCCATCACAGTTGATGCTATAACTACACACTGAATGTACCCATCACAGACGATGCTATAAGTAAACACTGAATGTACCCATCACAGTTGATGATATAACTATACACTGAATGTACCCATCACAGTTGATGCTATAACTACACACTGAATGTACCCATCATAGTTGAATAAGTCTTCCAATGCTTTCCGTAATAGACGACTATGCTTGTCGTAAGAGGCGACTAACGTGATCGGGGTGTCAGGCTCGTGACTTGGTTGAAGTATGTCATCGTATCCCTATTGGATGGATGTTTGCTTATGATGTCACTCACTGGATTATCTGGTCTAGACTCGATTATTTTCAAACAGCCTTCATATAGCTTGACTATTGCTGAGTGTGGCGTTAAACAACAAACAAACAATCACAGTTGATGCTATGACTACACACTGAATGTACCCATCACAGTTGATGATATAAGTAAACACTGAATGATCCCATCACAGTTGATGCTATAACTACACACTGAATGTACCCATCACAGTTGATGGTATAACTACACACTGAATGTACCCATCACAGTTGATGCTATAACTACAAACTGAATTTACCCATCACAGTTGATGCTATAACTACACACTGAATGTACCCATCACAGTTGATGCTATGACTACATAAAGAATGTACCCATCACAGTTGATGCTATAACTACACACTGGATGTACCCATCACAGTTGATGATATAAGTAAACACTGAATGTTGCCATCACAGTTGATGCTATAACTACACACTGAATGTACCCATCACAGTTGATAATAAAACTACACACTGAATGTACCCATCACAGTTGATGCTATAACTACAAACTGAATTTACCCATCACAGTTGATGCTATAACTACACACTGAATGTACCCATCACAGTTGATGCTATGACTACATAAAGAATGTACCCATCACAGTTGATGCTATAACTACACACTGGATGTACCCATCACAGTTGATGCTATAACTACACACTGAATGTACCCATCACAGTTGATGCTATAACTACACACTGAATGTACCCATCACAGTTGATGCTATAACTACACACTGAATGTACCCATCACAGTTGATGCTATAACTACACACTGAATGCACCCATCACAGTTGATGATATAAATACACACTGAATGTACCCATCACAGTTGATGCTATGACTACATAAAGAATGTACCCATCACAGTTGATGCTATAACTACACACTGGATGTACCCATCACAGTTGATGCTATAACTACACACTGAATGTACCCATCACAGTTGATGATATAACTACACACTGAATGTACCCATCACAGTTGATGCTATAACTACACACTGAATGTATCCATCACAGTTGATGCTATAACTACACACTGAATGTACCCATCACAGACGATGCTATAAGTAAACACTGAATGTACCCATCACAGTTGATGATATAACTATACACTGAATGTACCCATCACAGTTGATGCTATAACTACACACTGAATGTACCCATCATAGTTGAATAAGTCTTCCAATGCTTTCCGTAATAGACGACTATGCTTGTCGTAAGAGGCGACTAACGTGATCGGGGTGTCAGGCTCGTGACTTGGTTGAAGTATGTCATCGTATCCCTATTGGATGGATGTTTGCTTATGATGTCACTCACTGGATTATCTGGTCTAGACTCGATTATTTTCAAACAGCCTTCATATAGCTTGACTATTGCTGAGTGCGGCGTTAAACAACAAACAAACAATCACAGTTGATGCTATGACTACACACTGAATGTACCCATCACAGTTGATGATATAAGTAAACACTGAATGATCCCATCACAGTTGATGCTATAACTACACACTGAATGTACCCATCACAGTTGATGATATAACTACACACTGAATGTACCCATCACAGTTGATGCTATAACTACAAACTGAATTTACCCATCACAGTTGATGCTATAACTACACACTGAATGTACCCATCACAGTTGATGCTATGACTACATAAAGAATGTACCCATCACAGTTGATGCTATAACTACACACTGGATGTACCCATCACAGTTGATGCTATAACTACACAATGAATGTACTCATCACAGTTGATGATATAACTACACACAGAATGTACCCATCACAGTTGATGCTATAACTACACACTGAATGTACCAATCACAGTTGATGCTATAACTACACACTGAATGTACCAATCACAGTTGATGCTATAACTACACACTGAATGTACCCATCACAGACGATGCTATAACTACACACTGAATGTACCCATCACAGTTGATGCTATAAGTACACACTGAATGTATCCATCACAGTTGATGCTACAACTTCACAATGAATGTACCCATCACAGTTGATGCTATAACTACACACTGGATGTACCCATCACAGTTGATGCTATAACTACACACTGAATGTACCCATCACAGTTGATGATATAAATACACACTGAATGTACCCATCACAGTTGATGCTATGACTACATAAAGAATGTACCCATCACAGTTGATGCTATAACTACACACTGGATGTACCCATCACAGTTGATGCTATAACTAGACACTGAATGTACCCATCACAGTTGATGATATAACTACACACTGAATGTACCCATCACAGTTGATGCTATAACTACACACTGAATGTATCCATCACAGTTGATGCTATAACTACACACTGAATGTACCCATCACAGTTGATGCTATAACTACACACTGAATGTACCCATCACAGTTGATGCTATAACTACACACTGAATGTACCCATCACAGTTGATGCTATAACTATACACTGAATGTACCCATCACAGTTGATGCTATAACTACACACTGAATGTACCCATGACAGTTGATGCTACAACTACACACTGAATGTACCCTTCACAGTTGATGCTATAACTACACACTGAATGTACCCATCAATAAGTCTTCCAATGCTTTCCGTAATAGACGACTATGCTTGTCGTAAGAGGCGACTAACGTGATCGGGGTGTCAGGCTCGTGACTTGGTTGAAGCATGTCATCGTATCCCAATTGGATGGGTGTTTGCTTATGATGTCACTCACTGGATTATCTGGTCTAGACTCGATTATTTACAAACAGCCTTCATATAGCTTGAATATTGCTGAATGCGGTGTTAAACAACAAACAAACAAACAAACAAACAAGCAAGTTGATGCTAAAACTACACACTGAACGTGACCATCACATTTGATGCGTGTACACTTCAGATCTGGAGTTTGAACAGATCAGTTGTCACCGCACTTAATGTGTGTTAGTTTCAACCACCACTCGAGTACAACAGACCTGACTGGATACCCCCCGCCGTGTATGGTCTACAGCCGTCACTGGTTGGTCAGCATGGACACAGAAGAAAACAAATGCATGTACACACTGCCACTGTTGTTCATCTTGATTGAGAAGACACGGCATGGACCCGGGTATTGCCACCCGCTGAGGCAATCAACCCCACACCCATTCCCGTAATATGCTGCTTTTAGAATAAATGTTTGTCCCGACCCGGAAACAGGATGCGTTGCTGTTATACATGTAATCAATTGGACTGTGAAACATTGTGCTGCAAATTTGGGCGTCGGTTTGAATCTTGGCTTCTGTCTGTATGAATTCGCTGTGTATTATATGAAAGTAATTACTTTTAGCCCACCATTAGAGACATGACAGGCATTATATTATATCTAAGGTGCTTCTATAAATGACGAAATCAATTTCTAAGTTCAGTTGCTGTGGTTGGAGCTGTCTGATCTGACGACGTGAGTAACTGCAGTTTCTGCGTTATTGTTGAATATCTGATCTGACGGAGACGGCGTGAGTAGCTAGAGTACCTGCGTTTCTGTTGAATATCTGATCTGACGGAGACGACGTGAGTAGCTAGAGTACCTGCGTTATTGTTGAATATCTGATCTGACGGAGACGACGTGAGTAGCTAGAGTACCTGCGTTATTGTTAAATATCTGATCTGACGGAGACGACGTGAGTAGTTAGAGTACCTGCGTTATTGTTGAATATCTGATCAACTCAAACCATGCTGCTCCCCTTATTATTTTCGTAACGTCGTAACACCATTAATTAGAGTGAAGAGTGTGTGTGTGTGTGCGTGCGTGCGTGCGTGCGTGTGTGTGTGTGTGTTTATCAGTTAATGAAAACAATAAGGGGAACAACATGGTTTGAGTTAAAACGGATATTCAACAAATATATAATATTTAAATAAGTTTGAAAAGCTTAAGCAATGTTACATGTTGTTTTTACGGTGGTCGTTTCAATTTAACAAGACGCCATCATATCTAGTTGAAGTGAAGTCAAGTCAAATTGTGTATTGCATTCTAGACAACTGGCATAGCTACGTTAATTCATGATATGCGCCTGTTGTTACAGTGAGCTTCCTGTAGGTGTAGCATGCGTACAAAATCTATTCCTATTGAAGAACTATATTTGTTTAATAGGGACTAGTTGGATAGAAACATAACACAGCTAGAATGGATTATTTTCTGAAGTCAGTAAATCGAAGTGATATTAATGCCAGGTCACGCGATGGACATAACTCAGACACTACCAAGTTCCTTCATTACTTGTCAACGTCAACATATTTGCCGGATACTGAACGGTATTATGGGAGAGTTATTGTATGCATGTATTTCTCAGGTTCTAACAAGATTTTTTATTCTTTGTAAACTGAAAATCGAAAACTATTTTTTTAACAGAGGATTAAAATTCCGGGGAATATCTTTCACTACCACACTTTTGAATACTTTTGAAATAGTTACAGTTTCTCCGATCCATGTGTTCGAGATAACCTAACAAAGAATGATAACAAATGGGATAACAAAGGAGGATAAACAAAGGAGGATAACAAAGGTGGGATAACAAGGGTGGATAGCAAAGGTGGATAACAAAGGTGGATAACGAAAGGGGATAACAAAGGGGATAACAAAGGGGATAACAAAGGGGAAGAACAAAGGAGGATAAGAAAGGAGGATAAGAAAGGAGGATAAGAAAGGGGGATAACAAAGGTGGATAACAAAGGTGGATAACAAAGGTGGATAACAATTGTGGATAACAAAGGTGGATAGCAAAGATAGATAACAAAGATGATAACAAAGGAGGATAAAAAGGGAGGATAACAAAGGTGGATAACAAAAGTTGATAAAGGGGATAACAAAAGGGGATAACAAAGGTGGATAACAATGGGGCTAACAAAGGAGGATAGCAAAAGTTGATAACAAAGGTGGATTACAAAAGGGGATAACAAATGTGGATAACAAAAGGGGATTACAAAGGGGATAACAAAGGGGAATAACAAAGGATGATAAGAAAGGTGGATAACAAAGGTGGATAACAAAGGAGGATAACAAAGGAGGATAAAAAGGGAGGGTAGCAAAAGAGGATAACAAAGATGGATAACAAAGATGGATAACAAAAGGGGATAACAAAGGTGGATAACAAAGGTGGATAACAAAGGAGGATAACAAAGGAGGATAACAAAGGAGGATAAAAAGGGAGGGTAGCAAAAGAGGATAACAAAGATGGATAACAAAGATGGATAACAAAAGGGGATAACAAAGGTGGATAACAAAAGGGGATAACAAAGGGGAATAACAAAGGAGGATAAGAAAGGAGGATAACAAAAGAGGATAACAAAATCCGAACACTGTGGTCCAGGTAGCAAGCACTACATTGAAAACACAGCATGGTTTCTTCTGCCATTTAGAGTGATACGTTTTGTGTTTTCAGCTGAGTTTCGAGTGAGCCGAGATGTTCCTGTTTCTTGTCATGGTGATGTATGCCGTCAAACTTGGCGTCCACGCTCAAAACAGTAGGTAGCATCTCACAGCAATCACGCTTCCGATATCTTAGTCTCAGTAACACTTGGCGGGTAGCAAGTGGCGGACTATGAATGGTGGGGTAAAAAGTGGTGGGTAAAAAGTGGTGGGTAAAAAGTGGTGGGTAACAAGGGGCGGGTAACAAGTGGTGGGTAACAAGGGGCGGGTAACAAGTGGCGGGTAACAAGTGGCTGGTAACAAGGGGCGGGTAACAAGTGGCGGTTAACAAGTGGCTGGTAACAAGGGGCGGGTAACAAGTGGCGGTTAACAAGGGGCTGGTAACAAGGGGCGGGTAACAAGTGGCGGTTAACAAGTGGTTGGTAGAATGTAAGGGAGTAAGGTTTTGATAGCAAGCCATCGTTTCAACCGTCGCCAAGAGTTGAAAGCAGACATTACAATGTTCCTCAAGATGTCGATCATTGCAAATAATCTTTACAATGTTCATCTGTGTGTCAAATGTGATCAGTTGGTCTAACGGTATCCCTTATTGATCGAATGTTGTAAGTAACATTTGAAACAACCCTTTTGAGCGTTCATTTCTTATGAAGATCAGACAGTAATATCGGTAACAGCTTTGACACGTGTTCTGTTCCCATGTAGCATGCTAATTATTTATGGAATCATATGCTATGGTTTAGTTGGTCAACTTCTCAGACAACCAGATGTGCGTCAGGTAGGTGGATGACAATATGGATCTGATACCGTTCATTTTATTTCAGCTACCCAGCCAGCTGGGTTTGCAGATGATACACGCGGCGCCTCAACAGTGGGTAGGTATCCATTATTGGGAAACAAGTTATGTGTAGAGAGGTGGGGAAAAATAGCATCTCTTATTTATCAGCTTTCATAAGTAAACTTAATACGATCTTTGACTGTTCATCAGAACATCATATACCAGCGTTAACTTTGTCAAGTGTTTGGATATTAATATTGGCTAATATATTTATTACTTGTTTGAATACAATGTTGCTCTAAGTAGCTGTAAAATTATCTGATATCTGCTCATATTTGTTTCAGCTGCCGAAGCAGGTGAGTTTACACAACAGGATTTCAGCAAGTGATGTGGTATCTAGTGGTGGGTATCAATTGGTGTGATAGCAAGTGGTGTCATATCAAGTGGTGTGATATCAATATATGTGATATCAATTGGTGTGATATCAATTGGTGTGATATCAAGTGGTGTGATATCAAGTGGTGTGGCATCAATTGGTGTGGTATCTAGTGGTGTGGTATCAAGTGGCGTGATATCAAGTGGTGTGGTATCAAGTGGTGTGGTATCAAGTGATGTAGTAACAAGTAGTGTGATGTCAAGTGGTGTGGTATCAAGTGGTGTAGTATCAAGTGATGTAGTAACAAGTAGTGTGATATCAAGTGGTGTAGTATCAAGTGATGTAGTAACAAGTAGTGTGATATCAAGTGGTGTGGTATCAAGTGGTGTGGTATCAATTGGTGTGATATCAAGTGGTGTGGTATCAAGTGATGTGGTATCTAGTGGTGTGGTATCAAGTGGTGTGATATCAAGTGGTGTGGTATCAAGCGGTGTGGTATCAAGTAGTGTGATACCAAGTGGTGTGATATCAATTGGTGTGATATCAAGTGGTGTGGTATCAAGTGGTGTGGTATCAAGTGGTGTGATATCAAGTGGTGCGGTATCAAGCGGTGTGGTATCAAGTGGTGTGATATCAAGCGGTGTGATATCAAGTGGTGTGATATCAATTGCTGTGATATCAATTGGTGTGATGTCAAGCGGTGTGATATCAATTGGTGTGATATCAAGTTGTGTGGCATCAATTGGTGTGGTATCTAGTGGTGTGGTATCAAGTGGTGTGATATCAAGCGGTGTGATATCAAGTGGTGTGGTATCAATTGGTGTGATATCAAGTGGTGTGGTATCAAGTGATGTAGTAACAAGTAGTGTGATATCAAGTGATGTGGTATCAAGTGGTGTGATATCAAGTGGTGTGATATCAATTGGGTTGATATCAAGTTGTGTGGTATCAAGTGGTGTGGTATCAAGTGGTGTGATATTAAGTGTTGTGGTATCAATTGGTGTGATATCAAGTGGTGTGATATCAATTGGTGTGATATCAAGTGGCGTGGTATCAAGTGGTGTGGTATCAAGTGGTGTGATATCAATTGGTGTGATATCAAGTGTTGTGATATCAAGTGGTGTGATATCAAGTGTTGTGGTATCAAGTGGTTTGATATCAAGTGTTGTGGTATCAAGTGTAGTGGTATCAAGTACTGGGATAATTTCCCTCTTGATGTATTGACTGTTCAGATCTGACAATGTTCCTCTTGATGTGTTGACTGGTCAAATCTGACAGTTTCCCTCTCTATGCATCGACCGTTCAAATCTGACAATTTCCATTGTTATGTGTTGACCGTTCGAATCTGAGAAATATCCTTCTTTATGTGATCTGCAATCAGCAGTACTCTCACATGGGTCGACTTTTATAAATACACTGATTCCTTTTAATGTGTTCATTACATATCGAATCATATATATGCTATGGTTGTGTTTGTCAACTTCTCAGACAACAGCATTGGATCATTTCTGTATGATGGTTTACCTGCATATCTGCGTCTAGTAGGTGGACGTCAATATGGATCTGATATCCGCTCCTTTTACTTCAGCTACCCAGCCAGCTGCGTTTGCAGATGATACACGCAGCGCCTCAACAGTGGGTAGGTATCCATTATTGGGAAACAAGTGACGTGTAGAGAGGTGTGGAAAAATATCATCTCTTATGTATCAGCTTTCATAAGTAAACTTGATACAATCTTTGACTGTTCATCTTAACATCATATACCAGCGTTTACTTTGTCAAGTGTTTGGACATTAATATTGGCTAATATATTTATTCCTTATTTGAATACAATGTTGCTACAAGTAGCTGTAAATCATCTGATATCTGCTCATATTTGTTTCAGCTGCCGAAGCAGGTGAGTTTACAGCGACAGGATTTCAGCAAGTGATGTGGTATCTAGTGGTGTGGTATCAAGTGGTGTGATATCAATTGGTGTTATATCAATTGGTGTGATATCAAGTGATGTGGCATCAATTGGTGTGGTATCTAGTGGTGTGGCAACAATTGGTGTGATATCAAGTGGTGTGATATCAATTGGTGTGATATCAATTGGTGTTATATCAAGTGGTGTGGTATCAAGTGGTGTGGTATCAAGTGATGTAGTAACAAGAAGTGTGCTGTCAAGTGGTGTGGTATCAAGTAGTGTGGTATCAAGTGGTGTAGTATCAAGCGGTGTGATATCAAGTGGTGTGATATCAATTGATGTGACATAAATTGGTGTGATATCAAGCGGTGTGATATCAAGTGGTGTGATATCAAGTAGTGTGGCATCAATTGGTGTGGTATCTAGTGGTGTGGTATCAAGTGGTGTGATATCAAGTGGTGTGATATCAAGCGGTGTGATATCAAGTGGTGTGGTATCAAGTGGTGTGGTATTAAGTGGTGTGGTATCAAGTGGCGTGGCATCAATTGGTGTGGTATCTAGTGGTGTGGTATCAAGTGGTGTGATATCAATTGGTGTGATATCAATTGGTGTGATGTCAAGTGGTGTGGTATCAAGTGGTGTGGTATTAAGTGGTGTGGTATCAAGTGGCGTGGTATCAAGTGGTGTGAAATCAAGTGGTGTGATATCAATTGGTGTGATATCAAGTGTTGTGATATCAATTGTTGTGATATCAAGTGTTGTGGTATCAAGTGGTGTTATATCAAGTGTTGTGGTATCAAGTGTAGTGGTATCAAGTACTGGGACAATTTACCTCTTGATGTATTGACTGTTCAGATCTGACAATGTTCCTCTTGATGTGTTGACTGGTCAAATCTGACAATTTCCATTGTTATGTGTTGACCGTTCGAATCTGAGAAATATCCTTCTTTATGTGATCTGCAGTCAGCAGTTCTCTCACATGGGTCGACTTTTATAAATACACTGATTCCTTTTAATGTGTTCATTTCATATCGAATCATATATATGCTATGGTTGTGTTTGTCAACTTCTCAGACAACAACATTGGATCATTTCTGTATGATGGTTTACATGCATATCTGCGTCAAGTAGGTGAACGTCAATATGGATCTGATATCCGCTCATTTTACCTCCAGCTACCCAGCCAACTGAGTTTACAGATGATACACGCAGCGCCTCAACAGTGGGTAGGTATCCATTATTGGGAAACAAGTGATGTGTAGAGAGGTGGGGAAAAATATCATCTCTTATGTATCAGCTTTCATAAGTAAACTTGATACGATCTTTGACTGTTCATCTTAACATCATATACCAGCGTTTACTTTGTTAAATGTTTGGACAATAATATTGGCTAATATATGTATTACTTATTTGAATACAATGTTGCTATAAGTAGCTGTAAATTATCTGATATCTGCTCATATTTGTTTCAGCTGCCGAAACAGGTGAGTTTACAGCGACAGGATTTCAATATTAAAAGCCGGGTACACAGAGGTCATGTATCAAATGACGGGATGTCAAATACTGGATATCAGGCTGTGGCAAATTAATATTATAGTTTCCCTTATGTATCAGCTGTCGTACGTAAACTTGATACAATCCTTGACTGTTCAGTTCACATGAACATCATATACTGTCATTTACTTTGTCAAGTGTTTGGACATTCATAATTTGTTAATACTTGTATTACTTGTTTCAATACAATGTTGCTGTAAGTATTTGCAAATTAATATTTATAATGGTATCTGCTCACTTCTGTTTAAGCTGTCAAATTAGGTGAGTTTACCGATTGTTTGAAATCAAGTAGTGGGATGTCAAGTGGTGGGATATATAATCATAGAGTATTCCTTGCTGGCTATACACGTTATCAAGTAGTGTTGTATCAATTGGTGTTGTATCAATTGGTGTGGTATCAAGTGGAGTGGTATCAATTGGTGTGTTATCAATTGGTGTGTTATCAATTGATGGGGTATCAAGTGGTGGGGTATCTAGTGGTGTGGTATCAAGTAGTGTGATATCAATTGGTGTGGTATCAATTGGTGTGGTATCAGTTAGTATGGTATCAAGTGGTGTAGTATGAAGCGACGTGGTATCAATTGATGTGGTATCTAGTGGTGTGGTATCAAGTGGTGTGGTATCAAGTGGTGTGGTATCAAGTGATGTGGTATCAAGTGGTGTGGTATCTAGTGGTGTGGTATGAATTGGTATAGTATCAAGTGATGTGGTATCAATTGGTGAGGTATCAAGTGATGTGGTATCAAGTGATGTGGTATAACGTGATCTGGTATCAAGTGGTGTGGTTTCAAGTGGTGTGGTATCAAGCGGTGTGATATCAAGTGATGGGGTATCCATTGGTGTCGTATCAAGTGGTGTAGTATGAAGCGACGTGGTATCAAGTGTTGTGATATCAATTGGTGTGGTAACAACTGGTGTGGATTGAAGTGGTGTTGTATCAAGTGGTGTGGTATCAAGTAGTGGGATATCAAGTTGTGGGACAATGTCCATCTTGATGTGTTGACTGTTCAAATCTGACAATTTCCCTCTCTATGCATCGACCGTTCAAATCTGACAATTTCCATTATTATGTGTTGACCGTTCGAATCTGAGTAATGTCCTTCTCTATGTGATCTGCAATCAGCAGTACTCTCACATGGGTCGACTTTTATATATACACTGATTCCTTTTAATGTGTTCATTACATATCGAATTATATATATGCTATGGTTGTGTTTGTCAATTTCTCAGACAACAGCATTGGATCATTTCTGTATGATGGTTTACCTGCATATCTGCGTCAAGTAGGTGGACGTCAATATGGATCTGATATCCGCTCCTTTTACTTCAGCTACCCAGCCAGCTGCGTTTGCAGATGATACACGCAGCGCCTCAACAGTGGGTAGGTATCCATTATTGGGAAACAAGTGATGTGTAGAGAGGTGTGGAAAAATATCATCTCTTATGTATCAGCTTTCATAAGTAAACTTGATACAATCTTTGACTGTTCATCAGCATTTGCTTTGTCAAGTGTTTGGACATTTATCGGATATTGGCTAATATATTTATTACTTGTTTGAATACAATGTTGCTACAAGTAGCTGTAAATTATCTAATATCTGCTCATATTTGTTTCAGCTGCCGTAGCAGGTGAGTTTACAGCGACAGGATTTCAGTATTAAAAGCCGGGTACACAGAGGTCATGTATCAAATGACGGGATGTCAAATACTGGATATCAGGCTGTGGCAAATTAATATTATAGTTTCCCTTATGTAATTAATATTGATAATGATATTTGCTCATTTCTGTTTCAGCTGTCAAATTAGGTGAGTTTACCGATTGTATGAAATCAAACAGTGGGATGTCAAGTAGTGGGCTATATAATCATAGAGTATTCCTTGCTGGCTATACACGTTATCAAGTAGAGTGGTATCAATTGGTGTTGTATCAATTGGTGTGTTATCAATTGGTGTGGTATCAAGTGGTGTGGTATCAAGTGATGTGGTATCAAATGATGGGGTATCAAGTTGTGTGGTATCAATTGGTGTGTTATCAAGTGATGTGGTATCAAGTGGTGTGATATCAAGTGGTGTGATATCAATTGGTGTGGTAACAAATGGTGTGGTCTCAAGTGCTGTGGTATCAAGTGATGTGGTACCAAGTGGTGCGGTATCAAGTGGTGTGGTATCAAATGGTGTTGTATCTAGTGGTGTGGTATCACGTGATGGGGTATCTAGTGGTGTGGTATCAAGTGCTGTGGTATCAAATGATGTGGTATCAAGTAGTATGGCATCAATCAGATCAGACATCAGTCAGATCAGTCAACAGACAGGTCAGACAACAGACAGGTCAAACAAGTCAGACAACAGACAGTTCAGACAGCAGAAGGTCAGACAACAGACTTATCAGACAACAAACAGGTCAGACAAAAGACAAATCAGACAGGTCAGACAACATACATGTCAAACAACAAACAGGTCAGACAAAAGACAAATCAGACAGGTCAGACAACATACATGTCAGACACTAGACAGGCCTGACCATTCAGACAACAGACAGGTCTGAAAGGTCAGACAACAGACACGTCAAACAGGTCAGACAACGGACAGTTCAGACAACAAAAGTTCAGACAACATACAGACTGCATCGCCACAGACGACACTTGGGCATCGTCTCGGTCGACAGACAACATCAGTGAGATTGAGGTGACATGGTATCCGAGCACGTCGATCCTACAGTGAAATGACGTTGACGTGGACCAGGCGGGTTCGGCGTTGGCAGTTTTGATGAGAGTTGCCTGTTACGACCTCATGCCCGACAGCATGTGCACAGACACGCCTTGCATCAAACTGTGTACAGGACATTCACCCCGACGGAAGGGTGGCGTCATGGTATTTGGAGGAGTCAGTGGAGACTTGGACACGAGACAACACTACTGCACTGTGGCATCAGGAAGATGCTTCGTGACCTGTTGTGCTGCCATTTATCCAACAGCCAAGAGGTATTGCCGTCAAGCATGAAAACGCTATTGCAAAGCTGGCTCGGGACTTCCTCAACAACATGAACGTTAATAGTTTGCCATGATCTACATATTCTCCTCACATGAACCCCATCGAACACTTGCAGGATTATCGTGACAAGAATCAGAAGGAGACAAGTACCATTGGTTGACCGCCAGGACCTGTAGCGATGTCTCATCGAGACATAGCAACGAATTCCCTGAAACCTCATCAGGCGTTTGGGAGTGACATCAATTGTCGGAGTATGGATGTGTATGCTATCAAAGTATGGAGTATCAATTGGCGGAGTTTGGATATGTATGATATCAAAGTATGGGGTATCAATTGGCGGAGTATGGATGTGTATGCTATCAAAGTATGGGGTGTCAATTGTCGAAGTATGGATGTGTATGATATAAAGTTATGGGTTATCAATTGTCGGAGTATTGATGCGTATGATATAAAGTTATGGTATATAAATTGGCGGAGTATGGATGTGTATGACATAATGTTATGGGTTATTAATTGGCGGAGTATGGATGCGTATGATATAAAGTTATGGTATATCAATTGGCGGAGTATGGATGTGTATGACATAATGTTATTGGGTATTAATTGGCGGAGTATGGATGCGTATGACATAGAGTTATGGTATATTAATTGGCGGAGTATGGATGTGTATGACATAATGTTATGGGGTATTAATTGGCGGAGTATGGATGCGTATGATATAAAGTTATGGTATATTAATTGGCGGAGTATGGATGTGTATGACATAATGTTATGGTATATTACTTGGCGGAGTATGGATGTGTATGATATAATGTCATGGGGTATCAATTGGCGGAGTATGGATGTGTATGATATAATGTCATGGGGTATCAATTGGCGGAGTATGGATGTGTATGATATAATGTCATGGGGAATCAATTGGCGGAATATGGATGTGTATGATATAATGTTATGGGGTATCAATTGGCGGAGTATGGATGTGTATGATTTAATGTTATGGAGTATCAATCGGCGGAGTATGGAAGTGTATGATACTATGTGATGGGCTGTCAATTAGCCTTGTAGGGAAGTATGTGATAACAAGGGATGGACTATCAATTGACAGAGTAGGGCTTTGCATGATATGAGGGAGTGTGATATCAATGGGCGGAGTTGGTCTCACCGTTTTCTTATGGATCGAGTGTTGGAGGTAAACTAAAATACTTCGATCCTTCACTTTCTCTTGAAGATATATATACTATCGCTTAGTTTGTCAACTGCTCAGACAATAATATTTATTGGTAAAAGTACTTGCAATTTAATATTGATATTGACATCTGCTATTTTTTTGTTTCAGCTGCCAAACCAGGTGAGTCTACATATGGCATGGTATCAAGTGACGGGATATTAAGTGACGGGATATCAAGTGACGGGATATGGAGAGTATCAAGTAACGGGATATGGAAAGTATCAAGTGACGGGATATGGAGGGTATCAGGTGACGGGATATCGAGGGTATCAAGTGATGGGATATGGAGGGTATCAAGTGACGGGATATTGAGGGTATCAGGTGACGGGATATCAAGTGACAGGATATGGAGGGTATCAAGTGACGGGATATCGAGGGTATCAAGTGACGGGATATCGAGGGTATCAGGTGACGGGATATCAAGTGACGGGATATCGAGGGTATCAAGTGACGGGATATCGATGGTATCAAGTGACGGGATATCAAGTGACGGGATATCGATGGTATCAAGTGACGGGATATCGAGGGTATCAAGTGACGGGATATCGAGGGTATCAAGTGACGGGATATGGAGAGTATCAAGTAACGGGATATCGAGGGTATCAAGTGACGGGATATCGAGGGTATCAAGTGACGGGATATCGAGGGTATCATGTGACGGGATATCGAGGGTATCAAGTGACGGGATATCGAGGGTATCAAGTGACGGGATATGGAGAGTATCAAGTAACGGGATATCGATGGTATCAAGTGACAGGACATCGAGGGTATCAAGTGACGGGATATCGAGGGTATCAAGTGACGGGATATCGAGGGTATCAAGTGACAGGATATATAGCACCCATTATAATATTTCGACTGTTTTAATTAGTCTTCTCAGTAATATGTTGGCCATTGAGAGTAGATGTCACAGTGTCCCTCTTTATGTCAACTTAAACAGTTTTCCTTACAACGACCCAAATGGTTCGCATGTTGTAAGGAAATTGTATGATATCTTTTTATGTGGATAATTCTTGTGAGGCGTGTCTGTTGTTCAGACAATTACATTGATGCTTGATTGATCTTGTTTAGGCATTGTTTACATGCATATTTATTATCGGCAGTTGCAAATCAATATGGATTTTGAGATTCGTTAACCTTTGTTTCATCTATTCCGCCAGATGATAACATATCAGTGTTTAACTCACCTCTTTGAGGTACTACTTCACTTCATCAATGGGATATTGATTAATAAATGAATTTTTTTATATTTCTTTATGGAGCATTCTCTTCCTTAGCAGCTCTAAAGGTAGCTGCAACATTCCTTGTCGTGTGCGATAAATGCGACTACGACAAAGGTTATGGCTACGTGAGAGACCCAGAGGACTGCAACACCTACTACCAGTGCGTGCGGGATAAAGGGGTGTACTACACGTTTCACTGTCCGCCAGGCCTGGTGTGGGACGCACAGGCTCTGGCCTGCAACTGGCCGTACCTCGTCTCCAGTTGCTGTAAGTAGCCTTTAATCCATTCTTCTGACGTGCAACTGACATGTAACTGACATGCAACTGACATGCAACTGACATGCAACTAAAATGTAACTGACATGTAACTGACATGTAACTAACATGTTATTGACATGTAACTGACATGTAACTGACAAGTTTCTAAAGCCCCATTCACATTGACTCATTTACTTAGGTGAGTATATATACTGTTTAAATACTTACATAAGTAAATTTACTTATTGTGGCATGTGAACGCATATGCTTACGTGAGTAAAGAGACATGAGTGTATATTTGCTACACCTGATGGGGTCTCGTAAAAGTATATTTACTCATAAGTATAAATGCTCCTGGAGTATTTCTGGTCATGTGAACAGATTCTCTATTTGCGTACGTGAGCATATTAAATCCAAGATTCTGATAATCAGTAAAGAATTCCGAATGTAATTTCGTAAGGGCTATATTTAGCAACAGGGATTGCATCATAGCTATTCTCGTCCAGACAGCCGTCTGGAGTGTGCATGGTTTAGTAGTCTGCCATAGAAAATGCCACCAAAAAAGAGCTCTGACCCTAAAACAAATGCTAGGAAGTCTACCCGTAGACTTTCTTGGACTGATGAAGAGACAGAGTGTTTGTTATCGGTGTGGAATGAGAAAAACGTTGAAGAACAGCTCGAAGATCCAAAGAGGAATAAAGGAGCAATATAGAGTAGTGCACAGTGCAAAATACGCATGCACACGTTGAAGAGAACATTTGCGGATTGCAAGAAAAACATGAAGACAAGTGGTAAAGGGCGAAAACTCTGCACGTTCTATAACAAGCTGAATGAGATATTAGGACAAAGACCAGCGACTTCCTCTGTAAAGCTAGTGGAAAGCATGGCTCGAAATAAGCGTTTTGCGAATGAGGACATGACAGATGAAAGCGATAACTCAGAAGTGGAGGTTAATTTTGAGGACAATGAAAGAGATGACAACGAGACAGAAGAGCCTCGGAAAGAGAAGGGTGATGATGGAAATGATACAGCTAACAGAGTGGAAGATAATGAAGATTCAAATGATTATAAGAGTGGCAAGACAAACGAAAGATGTGAAAAAGATGGGAAGACAGATAATAGGGAACCAAAGAAGAAAGATGTGAAAACAGACAAGATAAAAAAAAAGAAAAAGTTTGGAGACCGCTCTCGGAACGGTCATGAAGGAATATTCTGACAGTAACAGCAAATTTGAAACACTAATGATGTCGTGATATGCGTGTATGGCTTTAGGAGCCATAGCTTCAAAGGGTAAGCTGCACCCAAAATCACAACTGGCATTGATACTTGCTTGTCAGGCAATCTCAACTGCCTGGTCCAGTTTGGGAACAAGTCGTTTGTCTCTCCTTTATAGTACAGTTCTGAATTGCCAAGGACCCTGGCATCATGAACTTTACCTGGCCATCCTACATTCACGTCAGTGATTATGTACTGATGGTCACACAATGCTTGTAGGGAAATAGAATAAAATCCTTTCCTATTGAGGTAGTCACCGCTAGTGAAGGTGCAATTATGGAGATATGGGTTCCATCAATTGCCCCTGTACAGTTTGGGAATCCCCATGTCTCCTGGAAGCCATTAAAGACAACCTTTAATTCGTCATCTACTGGAAGCTTCCCATATTTTGCCAACAAATTTTCTGTAATTGCATTGCAGATATCATGCACACATTTAGGCACGGTTGAGATACCAACCCCAAACACGTTGCTGATTGCTCTAAACTCCGCAGAGGAGGCAAGCCAGCAAATCGTTATGGCCACTTTGTGATCCAGCTCCAATGGTTCCCTCACATACATTTCCTGTGCAGGAAAATACGGCTGTAGTTCCTCGCAAAGAACATAAAATGTTTCGCGTGTCATGCGAAAGTTATCATCACAGTTTATCATCAAATGATCGTTTGACGACATTGTTCCAGAAGTGTTGAGAACGTTCTCTCTTCCACAGTTCTCTTCCCTGGCATAATCCTAAGACTAATCCCATACTAAGGAAGTGTGGAAAGTCTCTCTTTCGCCTCTGGTTGACTATCTTCGACAGCGACATGGCCTCAAATGATAAAAGTCCCACTTTAATTATGAAATGATGTTTACTTCTGCCTTGCATAAACGTCATGTGAACGCAATGTAAATACATTTGCTTACATGAGTAAATATACTCCAAGAGTAAATTTGCTTACATGAGTAAATTTTGTCCATGTGAATGGGACTTAAGACAGTATTAACATGCTATTGACAATGCCCTCACATCTTACATGTTTCTCAAATGTTTCTCAAATGTTACTTACATGAAACTGACATATAACTGACATGCAACTGACATGTAACTGACATGTAACTGACATGTAACTGACATGCAACTGACATGTAACTGACATGTAACTGACATATAACTGACATGCAACTGACATGTAACTGACATGCAACTGACATGTAACTGACATGTAACTGACATGTAACTGACATATAACTGACATGCAACTGACATGTAACTGACATGCAACTGACATGCAACTGACATGTAACTGACATGTAACTGACATGCAACTGACATGTAACTGACATGTAACTGACATGTAACTGACATGCAACTGACATGTAACTGACATGCAACTGACATGTAACTGACATATAACTGACATGTAACTGACATGTAACTGACATGCAACTGACATGTAACTGACATGTAACTGACATGTTTCTAAGGTAGTACTTACATGCTTCTGCCAATGCCCTGTTTTTGTCGAGGAAATGATTGCCATGTGTTTTATTATTTTCATCCTTTCGTTTCAGCCGACCCGCCAGGTGAGTAAACGGTATACAGTGTAAAATACCACAATCCTGTAATCAATTCTAGTGGTGATGAAAGTGGGTTGAAAGGTGCACGTAAGCTCATGTATATTTTTATTGTGTGGTTGACAGACCCATGTAAGTTCACGTGTATATTTATTGTGTGGTTGACAGACCCATGTAAGTTCACGTATATATTTATTGTGTGGTTGACATGTAAGTTCACGTGTATATTTATTGTGTGGTTGACATGTCAGTTCACGTGTATATTTATTGTGTGGTTGACATGTAAGTTCACGTGTATATTTATTGTGTGGTTGACATGATAGTTCACGTGTATATTTATTGTGTGGTTGACATGTAAGTTCACGTGTATATTTATTGTGTGGTTGACAGACCCATGTAAGTTCGTGTGTATATTTATTGTGTGGTTGACATGATAGTTCATGTGCATATCTATTATGTGGTTGACATGTGCATGTTAGTTCATGTGTATATTTATTGTGTGGTTGACAGGTGCATGTAAGTTCATGTGTATATGTATGTGTTTGAGAGGTCCACGTAAGTTCATGTGTATATTTATTGTTTGGTTGACAGATCCATGTACGTTCATGGCCCCAGATCCAAGCAACCCCTACGGCTACAAGAAGTTGGTCTCAGGGACGTGGCTGGTCAAGGTGTGTCCACTTGGAGAGATGTATGACCCTACCACGTGCACGTGTGTACCAGACCCATGTTACAACAGGGAGTACCATCCCAGCAACCCCAATGCCTACAAGCAATACGTGAACGGGAAGTGGGTCGTCAAGTGGTGCGCATTCTGGCAGGTCTACAACCGAGACACCTGCACATGTGTGGCGGGTAAGTCCAGTCTCCTATGTGGTAGATAGATCCAGTCTCCTGTATGGTAGGTCCAGTTTCCTCTGTGGTGGGTAGATCCAATCTCCTGTGTGGTAGGTGCAGTTACTAGGTGGTGGGTAGATCCAGTCTCCTGTGTGGTAGATAGATCCAGTCTCCTGTGTGGTAGGTCCAGTTTCCTCTGTGGTGGGTAGATCCAATCTCCTGTGTGGTAGGTGCAGTTACTAGGTGGTGGGTAGATCCAGTCTCCTGTGTGGTAGATAGATCCAGTCTCCTGTGTGGTAGATAGATCCAGTCTCCTGTGTGGTAGATAGATCCAGTCTCCTGTGTGGTAGATAGATCCAGTCTCGTGTGTGGTAGGTCCAGTTTCCTCTGTGGTGGGTAGATCCAGTCTCCTGTGTGGTAGGTCCAGTTTCCTCTGTGGTGGGTAGATCCAGTCTCCTGTGTGGTAGGTCCAGTTTCCTCTGTGGTGGGTAGATCCAATCTCCTGTATGGTAGGTCCAGTTACTAGGTGGTGGGTAGATCCAGTCTCCTGTGTGGTAGGTCCAGTTTCCTCTGTGGTGGGTAGATCCAGTCTCCTGTATGGTAGGTCCAGTGACTAGGTGGTGGGTAGATCCAGTCTCCTGTGTGGTAGGTCCAGTTTCCTCTGTGGTGGGTAGATCCAGTCTCCTGTGTGGTAGGTCCAGTTACTAGGTGGTGGGTAGATCCAATCTCCTGTATGGTAGGTCCAGTTACTAGGTGGTGGGTAGATCCAGTCTCCTGTGTGGTAGGTCCAGTTTCCTCTGTGGTGGGTAGATCCAGTCTCCTCTGTGGTAGGTCCAGTTACTAGGTGGTGGGTAGATCCAGTCTCGTGTGTGGTAGGTCCAGTTTCCTCTGTGGTGGGTAGATCCAGTCTCCTGTATGGTAGGTCCAGTTACTAGGTGGTGGGTAGATCCAGTCTCCTGTGTGGTAGGTCCAGTTCCCTCTGTGGTGGGTAGATCCAGTCTCCTCTGTGGTAGGTCCAGTTACTAGGTGGTGGGTAGATCCAGTCTCCTGTGTGGTAGGTCCAGTTACTAGGTGGTGGGTAGATCCAGTCTCCTGTGTGGTAGGTCCAGTTTCCTCTGTGGTGGGTAGATCCAGTCTCCTGTGTGGTAGGTCCAGTTACTAGGTGGTGGGTAGATCCAGTCTCCTGTATGGTAGGTCCAGTTTCCTGTGTGGTGGGTAGATCCAATCTCCTGTGTGGTAGGTGCAGTGTCCTGTGTGTTAGGTCCATTCCCCTATGTTGTTGGTCCAGTCTCATGTGTGGTAGGTCCAGTCTCCTGTGTGGCGGGTAGGTCCATTATCCTGTGTGATGGGTAGGTCCAGTCTCCTGTGTGGCGGGTAGGTCCGGTCTCCTGTGTGGTGGGTAGGTCCATTATCCTGTGTGATGGGTAGGTCCAGTCTCCTGTGTAGCGGGTAGGTCCAGTCTCCTGTGTGGCGGGTAGGTCCAGTCTCCTGTGTGGCGGGTAGGTCCAGTCTCCTGTGTGGCGGGTAGGTCCAGTCTCCTGTGTGGTGGGTAGGTCCATTATCCTGTGTGATGGGTAGGTCCAGTCTCCTGTGTGGTGGGTAGGTCCAGTCTCCTGTGTGGTAGGTAGGTCCCAATATCCTGTGTGATGGGTAGGTCCGGTCTCCTGTGTGGCGGGTAGGTCCAGTCTCCTGTGTGGTGGGTAGGTCCAGTCTCCTGTGTGGTAGGTAGATCCCAATCTCCTGTATGATGGGTAGGTCCAGTCTCCTTTGTGGTTGGTCTAGTCTCCCGATGTGGTGTGTAAGTTCAGTCTCCTGTGTGGCGGGTAGGTCCAGTCTCCTGTGTGGTAGGTCCAGTCTCCTGTGTGGTAAGTCCAGTCTCCTGTGTGGCGGGTAGGTCCAGTCTCCTGTGTGGTAGGTCCAGTCTCCCGATGTGGTGTGTAAATCCAGTCTCCTGTGTGGTAAGTTTCTTATGCAATTAGGACCTAGCAATAACTCGTTCTTTGATCGGATATTGATTATTGATGGAGCCTGAGAATCCGGTACAAAAAAGTAATTAAATCAGATTCAGGTGTTGAGTGAAGCAAAACGTTTATTGAATGATGCCTGGTTATGTTTATACATAACAAATCTTCGGGACTTACATGTGTAGCACAAATGTCATTTAAGTCGTTATAGTTATTACAGTACACCTCTTGTTATATTCTAGAGGATTTTCCTTGTTCCAATGTTTCAACCGTAGTCACATAGTCAGAATCTCTTAAGCACCCCCGTCCCTCGGCCCTCACCCCACATCCCCATCCTCCAGCCAACACCCCTCTCCGTCCTGACCCCGTCAGCCCACTGTGAGAACTGGGACAACGCTGGTTCTAGCGTACAGGATGTTCAACGTTGGACATGAACAAATAAGAAATGACGGAAAGTGTTCTATGCTAGATGTTTTTGACGGAGGTCACACAATACCTACATGTTTTTTAAACGTGTCCTTGCACTTCAGACCCGTGCCACCAGAAGAAGGCCCACCCTGCCAACACGCACGTGTACTTGGAGTATGAAAACTCCAAATGGATTGTGCGGCCGTGTGCACCAGGCACGGCATACAACGAGACCTCCTGCAACTGTGACATTCACTCCCGCGTGCCGTTCTTTCCAGGCAAGTATTAAATAGTGTCCTACATTCCCTGAAGGACAAGGCTGATGTTGTAGGTTGTGAACCTGTTCTGTATTTAGACATGTCTGACGTTGTAGGTTGTAAGCTGTTCTGTATTTAGACATGTCTGATGGTGTAGGTTGTGAGCCTGTTCTGTATTTAGACATGTCTGATGGTGTAGGTTGTTTACTGTTCTGTATTTAGACATGGCTGATGGTGTAGGTTGTGAACCTGTTCTGTATTTAGACATGTCTGATGTTGTAGGTTGTTCACTGTTCTATATTTAGACATGTCTGATGTTGTAGGTTGTTTACTGTTCTGTATTTAGACATGTCTGACGTTGTAGGTTGTAAGCTGTTCTATATTTAGACATGTCTGATGGTGTAGGTTGTTTACTGTTCTGTATTTAGACATGTCTGATGGTGTAGGTTGTTCACTGTTCTGTATTTAGACATGTCTGATGTTGAAGGTTGTAGGCTGTTCTATATTTAGACATGTCTGATGTTGTAGGTTGTAAGCTGTTCTATATTTAGACATGTCTGATGTTGTAGGTTGTTTACTGTTCTGTATTTAGACATGGCTGATGGTGTAGGTTGTGAACCTGTTCTGTATTTAGACATGTCTGATGTTGTAGGTTGTTCACTGTTCTGTATTTAGACATGTCTGATGTTGAAGGTTGTAGGCTGTTCTATATTTAGACATGTCTGATGTTGTAGGTTGTAAGCTGTTCTATATTTAGACATGTCTGATGTTGTAGGTTGTAAGCTGTTCTATATTTAGTAATGTCTGATGTTGTAGGTTGTTTACTGTTCTGTATTTAGACATGTCTGATGTTGTAGGTTGTTTACTGTTCTGTATTTAGACATGTCTGATGTTGTAGGTTGTAGGCTGTTCTATATTTAGTAATGTCTGATGTTGTAGGTTGTTTACTGTTCTGTATTTAGACATGTCTGATGTTGTAGGTTGTTTACTGTTTTGTATTTAGACATGTCTGATGTTGTAGGTTGTAGGCTGTTCTATATTTAGTAATGTCTGATGTTGTAGGTTGTTTACTGTTCTGTATTTAGACATGGCTGATGTTGTAGGTTGTGAACCTGTTCTGTATTTAGACATGTCTGATGTTGTAGGTTGTTCACTGTTCTGTATTTAGACATGTCTGATGTTGAAGGTTGTAGGCTGTTCTATATTTAGACATGTCTGATGTTGTAGGTTGTAAGCTGTTCTATATTTAGACATGTCTGATGTTGTAGGTTGTAAGCTGTTCTATATTTAGTAATGTCTGATGTTGTAGGTTGTTTACTGTTCTGTATTTAGACATGTCTGATGTTGTAGGTTGTTTACTGTTCCGTATTTAGACATGTCTGATGTTGTAGGTTGTAGGCTGTTCTATATTTAGTAATGTCTGATGTTGTAGGTTGTTTACTCTTCTGTATTTAGACATGTCTGATGTTGTAGGTTGTTGACTGTTTTGTATTTAGACATGTCTGATGTTGTAGGTTGTAGGCTGTTCTATATTTAGTAATGTCTGATGTTGTAGGTTGTTTACTGTTCTGTATTTAGACATGTCTGATGTTGTAGGTTGTTGACTGTTCTATATTTAGACATGTCTGATGTTGTAGGTTGTAAGCTGTTCTATATTTAGACATGTCTGATGTTGTAGGTTGTAAGCTGTTCTGTATTTAGACATGTCTGACGTTGAAAGTTGTTTACTGTTCTGTATTTAGACATGTCTGATGTTGTAGGTTATAAGCTGTTCTGTATTTAGACATGGCTGACGTTGAAGGTTGTTTACTGTTCTGTATTTAGACATGTCTGATGTTGTAGGTTGTATGCTGTTCTATATTTAGACATATCTGACGTTGTAGGTTGTAAGCTGTTCTATATTTAGACATGTCTGATGTTGTAGGTTGTATGCTGTTCTGTATTTAGACATGTCTGATGTTGTAGGTTGTATGCTGTTCTGTATTTAGACATGTCTGATGTTGTAGGTTGTACGCTGTTCTATATTTAGACATGTCTGATGTTGAAGGTTGTAAGGTGTTCTGTATTTAGACATTGCTGATGTTGTAGGTTATATGCTGTTCTGTATTTAGACATGTCTGATGTTGAAGGTTGTAAGGTGTTCTGTATTAAGACATGACTGATGTTGTAGGTTGTAAACTGTTCTGTATTTAGACATGTCTGATGTTGTAGGTTGTAAGGTGTTCTGTATTTAGACATGGCTGACGTTGAAGGTTGTTTACTGTTCTGTATTTAGACATGTCTGATGTTGTAGGTTATAAGCTGTTCTGTATTTAGACATGTCTGACGTTGTAGGTTGTAAGCTGTTCTGTATTTAGACATGTCTGATGTTGTAGGTTGTAAGGTGTTCTGTATTTAGACATGTCTGATGTTGTAGGTTGTAAACTGTTCTGTATTTAGACATGTCTGATGTTGTAGGTTGTAAGGTGTTCTGTATTTAGACATGGCTGACGTTGAAGGTTGTTTACTGTTCTGTATTTAGACATGTCTGATGTTGTAGGTTGTATGCTGTTCTATATTTAGACATGTCTGATGTTGTAGGTTATAAGCTGTTCTGTATTTAGACATGTCTGACGTTGTAGGTTGTAAGCTGTTCTGTATTTAGACATGTCTGATGTTGTAGGTTGTAAGGTGTTCTGTATTTAGACATGTCTGATGTTGTAGGGTGTTAGCCTGTTATGTATTTAGACATGTCTGATGTTGTAGGGTGTTAGCCTGTTATGTATTAAGACATGTCTGATGTTGTAGGTTGTAAGGTGTTCTGTATTAAGACATGTCTGATGTTGTAGGTTGTAAGCTGTTCTGTATTAAGACATGTCTGATGTTGTAGGTTATAAGCTGTTCTGTATTAAGACATGTCTGATGTTGTAGATTGTTAGCCTGTTATGTATTAAGACATGCCTGATGTTGTAGGTTGTAAGCTGTTCTATATTTAGACATGTCTGATGTTGTAGGGTGTTAGCCTCTTCTATATTTAGACATGGCTGATGTTGTTGCAGGCTTCTGCTCGTTAGATGCGAATTGAAACAACTCGTTGTGAGATGAACGATGTATTTAATCTCAGTGTGTCTGATGCTGTTGTAGCCTGTAAGCCTGTTCTGTACCTTCCCCTGTACTACAACACCGAAGACGCCGCTCACGACCACCACGTGGACAACCACGGCGTGTACATCCACTACGACATCCCTGCAGCAGTGTGGGATGGCAGCAGCTCTCTCAGCGTGCCATACTTCAGAAACGGTTACTATGGTGATGAGCTGACCATATCCTTCTACTATTTCCGCATCGACAACGTCACCCGCGTCGTCGTGAGCAACTCCCTCTGCGATGGCGTAGAAGCCACAGTCTACATCATCGTGGTCCCCGACGGCGTCTGTTTTCACGTCAAAAACAACTACGGCGACACGTTTGTGATGTGCGTGCCGTGTCCGGTAAGTGCGTCAGACTGAACAGACACAACGCAAGGGCCAATGTGCTGAAATGACTTCAGGTAATCTGACCGGATGTCCCTTCCATCCGTAATGTGACACAACCATCCTGTCTCTCTTTTATCTGACACTATGTTTACAGCGATGTTCCTGTCTCTCTGTTATCTGACACTATGTTTACAGCGATGTTTGTGTCTCTCTGTTATCTGACACTATGTTTACAGCTATGTTTCTGTCTCTCTGTTATCTGACACTATGTTTACAGCGATGTTCCTGTCTCTCTGTTATCTGACACTATGTTTACAGCTATGTTTGTGTCTCTCTATTATCTGACACTATGTTTACAGCGATGTTCCTGTCTCTCTGTTATCTGACACTATGTTTACAGCTATGTTTCTGTCTCTCTGTTATCTGACACCGACCACCCTGCCTCTGTAATATGCCATCATTCATTTTTCTTTGTGGAATCTAGCACTGTGTTTACAGCAATATAAATTCTGTCTGTAATTTGACACTAACTCTGTGTGTTTCTCTGTAATCGAAATCCTATGTCTTTGTATATCTGTAAATTGACGCCAATCTCTTTGCATATCTGTAAATTGACGCCAGGCTCTTTGCATATCTGTAAATTGACGCTAATCTATTTGCATATCTGTAAATTGACGCTAGTCTCTTTTCATATCTGTAAATTGACGCCAATCCCTTTGCATATCTGTAAGTTGACGCTGCCTACTCTGGCGTTGACGTTTTAGATTTACGCCGGCCTCTCAGACATGTTAGTTGTTTGACACGTCCTGGCACGTGACTCGTAGATGATGTTGTCATTACAGGGTGCGATAGGGTGGAGTTTTGCCATGTTGAAAATCCATGATGGCAAAATGATTGGCGTCACTGGAACGGACTACAGGGTGAGGGATTTCTATGGTAAGTAACACAAACATCATTACTGGATAAAGGATTTCTATGGTAAGAAACACAGACATCATTACTGGATAAAGGATTTCTATGGTAAGTAACACGAACATCATTACTGGATAAAGGATTTCTATGGTAAGTAACACAGACATCATTACTGGATAAAGGATTTCTATGGTAAGTAACACAGACATCATTACTGGATAAAGGATTTCTATGGTAAGTAACACAAACATCATTACTGAGTTAGGTTTCTATGGTGAGGGACACAAACATCATTAATGGATAACGGATTCCCATGGTGAGTAACACAAACATCATTACTGGATTAAGGATTTCTATCGTAAGTGACACAAACATCATTACTCGAAAAAAAACAATTTTGAGGGTACTTGATAAATGAATTATTGATGGTTGACGGATTTCTAGGGTGTATTATTATTATTGGATGACCACCTTGTTGGGAAGAGACATGAGTATAACATGGTGACAAGCTTTATCCGAAGTGACAAATGTTTGGGTAAGAGGCAAGTGACAAGGCCACAGCACAGAGCTGAATGGTGAGAGGAACATAGGATACACCGCTACATGACTGACAGTCTGACGAGGGTGCAAACCATTGCTCTCTTCTGAGATTCAATAATTGCTTGTCCTCTTACCTAATACCCATATTCATGTTGAAAGTCTGAAACGCTTACACTGAAACGCAAATTTTGGAACATTGAAATACTGACAATTTAATAATGGAACACAAATATCTCGAACCGGTTTTGGTTTCGAATGAACTCAACATGTATCAAATCGACGTTGAAAACCTCCAATACATCCGGGTTACCTCCTACAACTGATCCGATTGATTCCATTCAGGCACGATACCCCCGACGAAGTGCCCGCTGAGTATCGGCAAGGGTCTTCATCATCTAAGCTTCTACGGGAAGATTGTCCAGGTAAGACTCATGAGCTAGGCGTTCCTGAGTACTTTGAGGTAATAGCAGGGAGCTGGGCGTTCCTGAGTACTTTGAGATAAAAGCAGGGAGCTGGGCGTTCCTGAGTACTTTGAGATAATGGCAGGGAGCTAGGTGTTCATGGGTACTGTGAGGTAATAGCAGGGAGCTAGGTGTTCCTGGGTACTGTGAGCTCGGTGTTCTTGGGGACTGTGAGGTAATAGCAGGGAGCTGGGTGTTCCTGGGTACTGTGAGATAATAGCAGGGAGCTGGGCGTTCCTGGCTACTGTGAGGTAATAGCAGGGAGCTGGGCGTTCCTGGCTACTGTGAGATAATAGCAGGGAGCTGGGTGTTCCTGGCTACTGTGAGGTAATAGCAGGGAGCTGGGTGTTCCTGAGTACTTTGAGGTAATAGCAGGGAGCTGGGTGTTCCTGCGTACTTTGAGGTAATAGCAGGGAGCTGGGTGTTCCTGGGTACTTTGAGGTAATAGCAGGGAGCTGGGTGTTCCTGGGTACTGTGAGGTAATGACAGGGAGCTGGGTGTTCCTGAGTACTTTGAGGTAATGGCAGGGAGCTGGGTGTTCCTGCGTACTTTGAGGTAATAGCAGGGAGCTGGGTGTTCCTGGGTACTGTGAGGTAAGAGCAGGGAGCTGGGTGTTCCTGGGTACTTTGAGGTAATAGCAGGGAGCTGGGTGTTCCTGGGTACTTTGAGGTAATAGCAGGGAGCTGGGTGTTCCTGGGTACTGTGAGGTAATAGCAGGGAGCTGGGTGTTCCTGAGTACTTTGAGGTAATAGCAGGGAGCTAGGTGTTCCTGAGTACTTTGAGGTAATAGCAGGGAGCTGGGTGTTCCTGAGTACTTTGAGGTAATAGCAGGGAGCTGGGTGTTCCTGAGTACTTTGAGGTAATAGCAGGGAGCTGGGTGTTCCTGAGTACTTTGAGGTAATAGCAGGGAGCTGGGTGTTCCTGAGTACTTTGAGGTAATAGCAGGGAGCTGGGTGTTCCTGAGTACTTTGAGGTAATAGCAGGGAGCTGGGTGTTCCTGGGTACTGTGAGGTAAAAGCAGGGAGCTGGGTGTTCCTGAGTACTGTGAGGTTATAGCAGGGAGCTGGGTGTTCCTGGGTACTGTGAGGTAAAAGCAGGGAGCTGGGTGTTCCTGAGTACTGTGAGGTCATAGCAGGGAGCTGGGTGTTCCTGACGATAGCGTCAAGTCGGCTAGTCATGCGCGGGGACTTAGTAGATAGGTTGTCTGGGGACGTTGTTCATTATATGAATGACTGGTTTGTCTTCCTAAACTGCCATTTTATGGGTGGAATATCACTTAATGCAAATACACAGAATATTAACTTACATTGACTAATTTACATGTGATTACTTTAAAAGTCCCCTTGTATTGCATTATACCAAGGCCAATCAAAATGTAACGTGTGCTATTTATAAATATGCCAATTAGATACATAATGCTTCGACAATTCATGTACGCATGCAACAAGTGTGTGATGCAGTGGCTTGTTTCCTTACAGTTTGTGGTGTACGTGGGCTGCAACCCTCATCAATACAAGAGGGCCTCTGACCTTCTCAAGCAGGGTAGCGTCAATGCTGCCTTGATCGGAACCACAAGCCCCCTGCCCGTTTTAGCTTAAACTCTAGGACGTGTCTTCCCCCTAGTGCCCTCTGTATGCCTGCTTCCTGTTTGTGCATCTCTAGCCCGTGTCTTCCCCTAGTGTTCCCTGTATGCATGCTTCCTGTTTGTGCATCTGAAGCCCGTGTCTTCCCCTAGTGTTCCCTGTATGCATGCTTCCTGTTTGTGCATCTGAAGCCCGTGTCTTCCCCTAGTGTTCCCTGTATGCATGCTTCCTGTTTGTGCATCTCAAGCCCGTGTCTTCCCTTAGTGTTCCCTGTATGCCTGCTTCCTGTTTGTGCATCTCAAGCCCGTGTCTTCCCCTAGTGTTCCCTGTATGCATGCTTCCTGTTTGTGCATCTCAAGCCCGTGTCTTCCCTTAGTGTTCCCTGTATGCATGCTTCCTGTTTGTGCATCTCAAGCCCGTGTCTTCCCTTAGTGTTCCCTGTATGCCTGCTTCCTGTTTGTGCATCTCAAGCCCGTGTCTTCCCCTAGTGTTCACTGTTTGCATGCTTCCTGTTTGTGCATCTCAAGCCCGTGTCTTCCCCTAGTGTTCCCTGTATGCATGCTTCCTGTTTGTGCATCTCAAGCCCGTGTCTTCCCCAAGTGTCCTCTGTATGCATGCTTCCTGTTTGTGCATCTCTAGCCCGCCCCTGTCTTCCCCTAGTTTCCTGTGTATGCTAGCTTCCTGTTTGTGCATCTCTAGCCCGCCCCTGTCTTCCAATAGTGTCCTCTGTGTGCTTACTTCCTGTTTGTGCATCTCCAGCCCGTGTCTTCCAATAGTGTCCTCTGTGTGCTTACTTCCTGTTTGTGCATCTCCAGCCCGTGTCTTCCAATAGTGTCCTCTGTGTGCTTACTTCCTGTTTGTGCATCTCCAGCCCGTGTCTTCCAATAGTGTCCTCTGTGTGCTTACTTCCTGTTTGTGCATCTCCAGCCCGTGTCTTCCAATAGTGTCCTCTGTGTGCTTACTTCCTGTTTGTGCATCTCCAGCGCGTGTCTTCCAATAGTGTCCTCTGTGTGCTTACTTCCTGTTTGTGCATCTCCAGCCCGTGTCTTCCAATAGTGTCCTCTGTGTGCTTACTTCCTGTTTGTGCATCTCTATCCCGTGTCTTCCCCTAATGTCCTCTGTGTGCTTACTTCCTGTTTGTGCATCTCTATCCCGTGTCTTCCCCTACTGTCCTCTGTGTGCTTACTTCCTGTTTGTGGCATCTCCAGCTCGTGTCTTCCAATAGTGTCCTTTGTGTGCTTACTTCCTGTTTGTGCATCTCCAGCTCGTGTCTTCCAATAGTGTCCTCTGTGTGCTTACTTCCTGTTTGTGCATCTCCAGCCCGTGTCTTCCAATAGTGTCCTCTGTGTGCTTACTTCCTGTTTGTGCATCTCTATCCCGTGTCTTCCCCTAATGTCCTCTGTGTGCTTACTTCCTGTTTGTGCATCTCCAGCCCTTGTCTTCCCCTAGTATCCTCTGTATGCTCACTCATGTTTGTGCATCTCCAGCCCGTGTCTTCCAATAGTGTCCTCTGTATGCTAACTTCGTGTTTGTGCATCTCTAGCCCATCCGTATTTCCCCCTTGTGTCCTCAGGATGCTAACTTCCTGTTTGTGCATCTCTAGCCCGTGTCTTCCAATAGTGTCCTTTGTATGCTAACTTGCTGTTTGCGCATCTCTAGCCCGTATCTTCCCCTAGTATCCTTTGTATGCTCACTTCCTGTCTATGCATCTCTAGCCCGCCCATGTCTAACCCTAGTGTCCTCTGTATGATAACTTCCTGTATGTGGCATGTCAACTTTCGACATATCACTATTGCTATGGCTATCACTATTGCTATCGCAATCACTATTGCTGTGTCTATCAAAAGTTCAATGGCTATTACCATTGATGATGGCTATCACTATTGCTCTATCTATTATTTATTTCTCTGGCTATCACTTTTTCTATGGCTATAAATATTTCTATGGCTATCACTATTGCTATTGTTGTCTCTACCCTTATCACTATCACTATCACTGTCGCTAGTCGTATCCTTCCTTCTATATTTTGTTTTCTCTGATATGCAATAGGTTACCTATGTATTCCCTTTTATTAGACGCATTTCTTACACGATCCCCACCTCTGGCCACCCTATAGAGCTCTACTGCTTCATGTAACCTGCACCTGCTACTCTCCTCAACCCCTCCCGCCATTCACACCCCTATTCAGCCTATGCAACTGACAATCAGTTTTGCGACAAGGAAATGAGCTTGAAAGAGCTTCTCTTTCTGAGTTTGAATACCTTTGCATTAATGAATACAAATAACTTGCGCTACATCACTGAGCTCATAGATACACGAGATAACTACATATCCCTTCCTGCTTTTGTCGCTTTTTGTATGTTAAGGGGACACTTGCGAGACAGGCTGAACGTTGTATGTTAGGGTGACACTTGCGAGACAGGCTGAACGTTGTGTGTTAAGGGGACACTTGCGAGACAGGCTGAACGTTGTATGTTAGGGGGACACTTGCGAGACAGGCTGAACGTTGTGTGTTAGGGGGACACTTGCGAGACAGGCTGAACGTTGAAGCACGTGGTATGCTGCTGGCACTACCGGATATCCCTTCCTCTCCCCATCTTTCTCCTACTACACTGCTGCCTGTTATATGTATTGTAACTGTGAACATATTCATCAACGGCAAATAAATGTTTCTCTGCATTTTTGTTTTACTACTTGATTCATGAGTTGTACCTGTCGGGAATATTGTGACTGTAGTCGCAGTGTTAACCAGCCTTCTAGATACTATTCCATCCAGAAGGGCCCCGAAAAATAGCCCTGTCCCCACGTGATATGTCCCGCTGCTATGGGGCAGTACAGATTATTGTAAGATTATTGGGCAATGATTGTCAATGGCGGTAAATGACTGAAACGCTCTTAAAATACCGGATGTGAGTGGCTAGCTTGTAACCGGAAGTCTGATTCAGAGTTACGTCCCTTTGTTTGTTAACAAACGCAGGGTACCCTAATGGCAGATTGATCGTGAGAGAAGTTCCGTTGTGTGACAGTTTCTAGAAGGCTGTGCCTGTATTGACACGAGGGCGATTCGAGACGATGTATGGCCTGACTTCTGACTGACTTAGGTTATCGGGGATCTTGTGTGGTCGTTTCCGGTTCTCTACGAACCTGTTTCTGGGTTAACTTTGCGGTTCTATTTGGAAGAAGCCCTTCAAACTATAAACATATCAATACTTCGCAATTTAGGTATACCCTTGTACATAAACATCTACCCCCATCTGCATATACACGTCCTGATAACCAACTGAACAAACCCATCCACACAACCAGCAGGCCAGATATAGATATACCCATCCACACAACCAGCAGGCCAGATATAGATCTACCCATCCACACAGCCAGCAGGCGAGATATAGATCTACCCATCCACACAACCAGCAGGCGAGATAAAGATCTACCCATCCACACAACCAGCAGGCCAGATATAGATCTACCCATCCACACAACCAGCAGGCCAGATATAGATATACCCATCCACACAGCCAGCAGGCGAGATATAGATCTACCCATCCACACAACCAGCAGGCGAGATATAGATATACCCATCCACACAACCAGCAGGCCAGATATAGATCTACCCATCCACACAACCAGCAGGCGAGATATAGATCTACCCATCCACACAACCAGCAGGCCAGATATAGATATACCCATCCACACAACCAGCAGGCCAGATATATATATATACCCATCCACACAACCAGCAGGCCAGATATAGATATACCCATCCAGACAACCAGCAGGCCAGATATAGATATACCAATCCACACAACCAGCAGGCCAGATATAGATATACCCATCCACACAGCCAGCAGGCGAGATATAGACCTACCCATCCACACAACCAGCAGGCCAGATATAGATATACCCATCCACACAACCAGCAGGCCAGATATAGATATACCCATCCACACAGCCAGCAGGCCAGATATAGATCTACCCATCCACACAACCAGCAGGCCAGATATAGATATACCCATCCACACAACCAGCAGGCCAGATATAGATATACCCATCCACACAGCCAGCAGGCCAGATATAGATCTACCCATCCACACAACCAGCAGGCCAGATATAGATCTACCCATCCACAGAACCAGCAGGTCAGATATAGATCTACCCATCCAGACAACCAGCAGGCCAGATATATATATACCCATCCACACAACCAGCAGGCCAGATATAGATATACCCATCCACAGAACCAGCAGGCCAGATATAGATCTACCCATCCACACAACCAGCAGGTCAGATATAGATCTACCCATCCAGACAACCAACAGGCCAGGTATAGATATACCCATCCACACAACCAGCAGGCCAGATAAAGATATACCCATCCACACAACCAGCAGGCCAGATATAGATATACCCATCCACACAACCAGCAGGCCAGATATAGATATACCCATCTACACAACCAGCAGGCCAGATATAGATCTACCCATCCACTCAACCAGCAGGCCAGATATAGATCTACCCATCCACACAACCAGCAGGCCAGATATATATATACCCATCCACACAACCAGCAGGCCAGATATAGATCTACCCATCCACACAACCAGCAGGCCAGATATAGATATACCCATCCACACAACCAGCAGGCGAGATATAGATATACCCATCCACACAACCAGCAGGCCAGATATAGATCTACCCATCCACACAACCAGCAGGCCAGATATAGATCTACCCATCCACACAACCAGCAGGCCAGATATAGATCTACCCATCCACACAACCAGCAGGCCAGATATAGATCTACCCATCCACACAACCAGCAGGCCAGATATAGATATACCTATCCACACAACCAGCAGGCCAGATATAGATCTACCCATCCACACAACCAGCAGGCCAGATATAGATCTACCCATCTACACAACCAGCAGGCCAGATATAGATCTACCCATCCACACAACCAGCAGGCCAGATATAGATCTACCCATCTACACAACCAGCAGGCCAGATACAGATATACCCACCCACACACTCGACAGCCGCCATATATACCCATCTACACAACCATTTTGATATATCTGCATCCAGACATCATTTAGGTATTTGCGAATTTCGTGATATACTTTTTGAACACATGTATTGTCATTATAATTATCCATATTCGTTTACAATGAGTGAATCTTGAATTTATGCATGTTCTAGCTTTATTCCTGCAATGTTAGGGCGGGGACGAGCAAAAGCTGTAAAACTAGGCATTGTTGAATAAAACATTAACATTTTTATACTTAGCGTTTCAAGAGGTCTGTTAGCTTGTATCAGTTTTCTGAGCACGAAACCCTGTCTGCAGATTACAGTGTATTCGTTATCTAGAGTCTAGTTTTCCTTCAGTAAACACATTCGTCGCAGCGAAATGGGAATTTTTTTCTTCGAGATTCCTGCTACTGATAAAATCAAGTAAGGCATGTTAGGGCGAAACCAAACAGCCTATCAGTGATATTGTAGTATTGTATCAGCGCACGATCACACCAACATAATCAAGCGCACAATCTGTTTCCCCCAGATATTCTGAGGCGCTAGATCCACCCCTCTGCCCCCAGGTCGTACAACTGTCAGCATGGCCATAGCTGGTACTCGTCATCTTCGTTTATAAATAGCAATATCAGCAACGCGCTTATTCAGCCACGAAATGTTTCAGGAAGAGATTAAAAATTAATATGCAAATGTCCCTTGAAAGCCTAGAGCTTGAGAAATGTAACGTCTTTGGTTTGTCTTTTCGTGAGAAATGCTAAACACCCCTGAGGAGCGTCTGGAGGATGTGCATGTTTGACAGCGGATAGATGATGGGTTAGATTCCATGTTTAGATTCTAATGCTGATGGCAATGCTCATCGACATGCATCGTCTCGTGTCCCAACACTTTGATATATGAGTTTTAATGAAATGTTCACATTTGATACTCATGTTATTCTCATGTTTGTTCTTAGTACATTTTAAACACGTGATACAAGTTGAATAACTCCAACTAAAGAGCATAATAATTAAACGATTGCTCTTAAGAAAAAGTATATTGACACCATTCTTCCAAGAATTTGGAAACCACTCAAGCTGATTAGTCAGAGGTTTCAAATCACAATAACTACCTCTGATTCAAACGTATAATTTGATGGCAAAATCACGGCAGAAGCTATTATTTTACAGTGTGATCAGAGAACACGATAGACGTCGACTAAGATAATCGCTAATGTATTTAAAGTTTTAGGGGTAACAGAGCTCGTGGTGTGTGTTTCTTCTCTGTATTCATGTATCCGACTGTGGGGTGTCAAATAGTGTCTCAATGTACACATGATGTGACGTCATAATACTGACGAGCTCAGAAGACGTAAACCTTGTTTAATCCTATTAATCCCGAGCGCCGGGCTGGGTAACAAGTACCACTGCTACGAGTGAAGATGAAGTAAACCTCAAAGCCACTCTCATCATTAAAAGGAATACAGAACAATCTGAGTATTTATCAATGCTCCTTTAATAATATCTCATTACAAACAGGACCGCCACAGTGATCTAGTGGTAGAATGTCCGCTCGGAGAGCGGAGGGTCCGGGGTTTGATCCCCGTCCGCGTCATACCAAAAGATGGTACTTGCTGTTAACCTGTCTGGCGTTCCTCATTAAGGGGTGAAAACCAGCAATGGTCGGCTCAAGGTCAGTATACTGTGTCTGGGTGGGGTATTCATGTTAAACTGCGGCATGGTATCTCAGTGTGCTAGCACTTTGAATAGGCATCAGTCCGGACTAGTACAAGCAGCCACACACACAGACACACAGACACACAGACACACACGTAGCTATATAAGTGCAATAATCTTGGACGCGACGTTAAACCCCATTTCAACTCATCCATTACAAACAATACTGGTTTCCATGGCGACAACTAAGGGCAGCCTAGAAATAATGACGACAAAGCATCATGGTTGCGCATGGTTAAAGACATATGCCCAAATATGGGCATTGTTGACATTTCTCTTCATACGCGTTCCAGCTGTTGTGTGTGTAAACACGACAGTTCCAACTCGCAAGCGTTTTTTAAAAGGAATTCCATATTATTTTAATTCAAGCTCATTGTTGTAAGTACGCTGGACAGCTGTAAGTAAAGTTGAAAACTCAATTAGCGCCGCGCTTTGAATCTCGGACCAACACTCGGTCACTCGCACCGCCGGGGTCCCGGCTGTGGCATCCAAAGGTTCGGTTACCTTGGTCTATCAGCTGAGATAATGTCCGTGCCATTTTGGAAGGGGGAAACCAGAGTGCTCGCCAGAGACGTTTTCGTTAACTGTATGACCCTTTACTGAATACATGGAAATCGCCGAAGTCAAAACTCATTCATAAACAAACACCTTTGGAAACAATGTCACAACAAACTGACTTCATTTCACCACGCTTTACCTTTTATGTTAAATCAAATTGAAAGTTGCGAAAGTGGTCGTTTGCGTTACGCTTATAGAGAACTGATCTATTGGTAGTCGTACGTTGAAAATGGATAAAGCTCGATTATAAAATGTATGTAGCAACTCTATGCATAACAAATAGTTTTAGTCAGCATTTATGCATTTCAGCATTCATCAGCATTCCTTTACATACAGATCACATTCCTTCATTTACAACTCACATTCCTTCATAAACAG